TGAAAGACACCCTGCAGTGGTGTCCGGGTGCTTGCCAGCGAAGCAGCAAGCCTCCATGGCAAGTTAATTCATATCTCCTCGATCTTCCGCCTCATCCGCCCTTTCCTACCGGCCCTAGCTCGCTTCGCCCAATCCTTCCGTTCACACCGGGCACGCCTGCGACCCCCGCCTTCTGTCACAGGCGACATTCGTTGGGTCCTCGATCTACTCAACATAACACCCAACGAAATACCGTTAATGCCACCCGAACCCACCGACATCGACTGGTGGGGCGATGCCAGTACCTCTTTTGGAATAGGAGTAACAGTGGGCTCATTATGGGCGGTGTGGCAGTGGAAAGAGGGCATCAAGATTGGCCCGAAACAGCGTTTCGACATCGCTTGGGCAGAGGCCGTAGCCGTCGAGCTTGCCCTTCGTCTCGCCTTGGAAGCAGGCTTGCTCCACCCAGGGCATTACCTTGTCAGGTCCGACAACTCAGGTGTAGTCGCAGTGCTGAATGCGGGACGAGCCCGGAACAGGGAAGTCAACGAAGTACTAAAGAGCATTTATGTGCTGCTAGCACGTCATGCCATCCATCTTTCGCTCATCCACATCTCAAGCCGAGCCAACGTCACAGACGCCTTGTCGAGGGGGGATATCCCAGCCTTCCTGACCGGGTTTCCAAAGGCCAAAATGAGGATGGTAGCACCACTTCCCCCACACCTTTCTGGCTTACTAACACCGTGTTAGCGTTCCCAATCCTTGTTCCCCCTGCATCCCATCCACCACTCATGGGGATTTTACAAGCCACCACTCCGACATTCCGTGCCTCCGCCCTTCGCCCCTCCGGCCGGCATGCAGAGCTGAGGAGAGGTTGTTCCGTTGGAAAGGTGTAAACACCCCACCACCATCGACAATTGACCATCCGACGATCAAACTCATAGCAGACATCGCATCGAGAGCATCACTACGAGACACCAAGAGCTACGGCTCGGGCTTACGCAAGTTCCATATATTTTGTGACACTTTCTCCATTCCAGAACACCAACGCCTACCAGCATCTTACGAACTCCTCCACTCATTCGCATTATGGGCAGTCACAGACCCAAATGCCCTAGACCCATCATTTTGCAGCAACATCGCCTTTGAACCAGTCTCAGTACCCACAATTCGGAAATACCTGTCTGCGATACGAGCATGGCACATTGCACAAGGATGGCCTGAACCCCTCTCGGAAAGTGACCAGGATCGGATAGATTGGTCCTTGCGGGGCCTCCAAAACATCTTTGGTAAACGCAGCCGACCTGTACGCCCACCAATTACCATTCCTATGCTACGAGCTCTCAAGCGGACCCTCAACCTCAATGATACCTTTGATGCCTGTGTGTGGGCGATGGCAGCATGTGCTTTCTGGGGTATGATGCGGTTCGGCGAGGTGTCAGTCAAATCCCGCAAAGATTTTAGTGGTGATAAACATCTTAAACGTCGAGACGCCTTCCTCGGGAGAGACCTGGATGGTCGCCGGTATGCTCGCCTTGACCTTCCTTCAGCCAAAACAGCAGCTGTTGGGGAAATTCAATCAGTATTTCTAGCAACACAATCGACATCCGACTTGTGCCCACTGGAGGCCTTGCATAACATGGCAAGAGTCACGCCCGCTACAGCAGATGACCCGCTGTTCTCCTGGAGGGACAAGTCAGGTAACATCCGGCCCATGGTCAGGGAAAGGGCATTGGAACGCATCAATGCCATACTCCAAGCCTGGGGATGGGGTACTACCTTCGGGCACTCCTTCCGAATAGGTGGAGCCTCTTTCTACCTCGCTCAGGGTGTCGACTCTGAACATGTCCGCCTCGCAGGCCGTTGGAAAACCACAGCTTATGAAGTTTACATTCGAGCATTCGAACTCATTACCAACCGCAGGATGGGCAACATGGATGTGCCCAATGTCCAAGCCTGATCCACCTCTCCTGTCGCTGTGCATAGTTGGGCTGGCGTCGCAATTGCGCCGCGGTTGTTTCCTCCTTCGTCGGTTTGTGGGTGAGCGGCCCAATTTGCTCCGTGTTCCGATCTGAGCTGACGCTCAGGCCCAGCCCAACCTATCAAGCTCGCACCTCGCTCTTCCTGCGATAGACGAGGCTGGATCGGCATGGCTTCGTACCTTTCCCACGAGGGCGCTGACTCACGCCAAATGATTTCACGGTTGCGCCTCTGATCAATACCGCCATCATCATCACTACTACAGCACAGACATGGCAAAGAAGAAGGAACGTCGACAACGATCTCTAACTCTTCTTCCTGCGGAATATGGGCAGCAAAATCCCGTTATTGTTCCATTGCCCGCAGAGATGTGGGTCGAAATCATCCACTGGGCACGTCGATCGTCCGTTTCAACTAGTAATCTGACTGACAGGTGCCCTTGTATTCTAGTTGATGAAGGGCAAGAATCTAGACTCCCTTCGTACACTGTGTTTGGTTTGTCGACATTTAAGGGATATCGCTCAGCCGATATTGTTGAAGATCATTGTATTGGGTTCCTTCACGACTCACGCGAGAAAGAAGCCTAGTCAACTTAAATCTCTCTCTAACGGTGACTGTGCAGCGAGTCGTTTTTCCACGACCATTTGCATAGACTATTCTGAAGAATTTCGGGGCGATCGTGCGAGGGTCCTAAACCCTTTGGAGCTGGCTATGTTGCAGCACCTGAAAGCGGCCATACGATCCTTCAGAAGACTTTCGAGCGTCAAGTTCGTTGAATTTCCTCTCCCCCTTAGCCAATGCTGACTACAGCCGCATCGCGTGCAGATGGAAACTGGGGTTCCATTACCCTTCTTGGTTTCCCGAAATTGTCGCAACTGATCTCAGCGATTCATCATTGACCGAATTTGCTGTCACTTTGACTTCTCACTACAACTCATCTTTCGACCTCCCTACGCTTCCTAACTTGCGCTCTTTTTCGATCTCCCTTCCTACTTCATGTTGGGATCAACCTGCCATTGTACCAGCCGTCGCTCGGTTGATCGCCCAATCTCGACACCTCATCCGTCTGGAAATCGATATCCCAACAGCGTCAATTTTGGAGATATTCACCTCTGTCAACACCAGTGGGGCGTGCCTCGCTCTTGGACACCTGAGTCTGAATCGCATAGGGGTAACACAGGAAGCGATTACTGCCACCCTTCCCCATTTGACGAAGCTGGTGTCTTTGAAACTTCTGAGAAATCCGGATGTACACAGCTACTCAGCCAGGGCAATAGATATCTGGATGCCATTTTTGCAGAGGAAAATATGGCTGAAATCCATTGCAACTGACTGTGGGTCGGATAAATCCTTTCAATCCTACGTCCGGGTTGCCCCTGGGATAGAGACCCTCGTATTGCAGGCATCCGGAAGCCACCAACCAATCGTCCAAGATGGACAGTCCGCTCCGATCTTGATTAGTATCCTGGAGGCAACTTCTCCCTACCTGGCCAAATCCCTTGTGGAACTCGTCATCATGTCGTCGACCATTCAATACCCTACAGGCTGGAACTGGCCCTACGATGATCAGCTGCTCAAACTCTTGGCTTCATTGCATCGACTCGAGCGCCTTGGAGTTTACGTTGACTATTCCTACTGCGGAGCATCCGAGTTGAGCAAATATATGGGGGAAAGAATTATCGTAAGTACACTTACAAACTTTTCACGCCTGATTGCTGCTCATATAGGCGTCCAGGATCCTTTTTTGAAGATGGCAAACGACTTTGCGAATCTCAAAACCCTCATCCTGGCTTTTCATTATCCGAGCTATGCTCCTGACTGGGAACGCGAAGCGATCAAGACCCAAGTGAAAGACACTATTCGAGCTCATCCTATCGTATCTGCCCCTTCCAAAGCATGTTTCATCGAGTTCGAAGATGCCGTTTACGCACTTCGTCGGTGTGTTAGTTGTGGGCATCACCACTATGATTATTATCCCTAGATCACCTGAACCCACTCTTTTCCACCCCTATGGAACATAAATAGGAAGGCATGTACATGTAGCGTGAGTTACCTTGACCCTCGACCTACATACATATCTATCTATCTAAACGACAAGACTCGACAGGTCGATCGTATCTCTACTATGGTTCTAGTGATCACTTGCTTGTGTCATACGCCTTAATGGAAAGCAAGCCTTTCTCTCTAAGTAGGGGGCTATCCAAAACCAACTCCTTTAAGAACCTCGGAGCAATACCGAACCCAATCGGGTTCTCGAGCACGAAATCTAACTTCACGCTCTCCAACTCTTCGTACGGATGCTGCTCCTGACCACCTCCGCCAAGGACATCATCAATTTCCCTCCATCCCTCGAATATCGTCGTGTTGATTGATCTGTCCATGTAAGGCGCTGGTAGGTATACGGAGTAGGTGATCGAGATGTTCTTGATTCTGTTTTGTGTACGCGGTGAGGTAGGGTCAACACCCGTTCTGAGCACGGCGCACAACCACGGCAAGGGATCGTCCATTTGCTGCAGGACGTCGACAGTGACTTTCAAATTTCTCAGGCGTGGAACTTTGGAAAGGTTGAACTTGTCAAAGGGAGGAAGGCTCCAGTATTCTTTCAAGTACACTGCCGAATGCGGTTGTAGATGAGCGGGAACGAAGACATCAGAAGAGAAGACGTACCATCGTGCACGAGGGCTATCTCCAGCTCTTCCAGGGCGTGCGTTGCATGCAATAGCATTGAAAAGTCCTTGAAGTCGCCAGATATGGAGAGGGTTAGAATTCTGACTGCGCCGATGTCGATAGTAGAGGCTCGATGCAAGAGGCACGAGATAAGCGCCGGCGACGTTCTTGGGCCTATGACAAGTCGATCCAACGACGTCCCTGTAGCGCTATATGGAACCTCTTCACCATGCGATTTCACACCATCTCCATCCAAAATTGCGACCTGCTCCTCTTCAAACCCGATGTGGTCGACCTCGAGCACCCTCAAACTTCTGCATGCTCCCAGAAGATTCTGCACGTCAGACAAGCTCTCGAATAACAAACTCCCGATCTTCAGTTGGGTTAAAGTCGCTGAAGCCAACACATGACTCTGTATTGCGTCCTTCAGCTGGAGCGGCAACCCTTTCCATGCGATGTATGCCGACGCTGCAGATCGCCGAACTTCGAACTTGTGGATATTTGGGAGTACCTGAAGCAGAACTGAGAGACTCGAATCCTGCGCGAGCCATTCCCGTGTTCCTGTGCCCTCGCAGAGAAAGAGCTCTCTAATGGACGACGCGACGCTTCCGAGGCGGTTACCCTTGTGTGCTTGTCCGTTATTCACGTTGATAATGGCTAGCAATTGTTTGGCAAGCGAAGGCTGAGGGCTGCGGGCGAAGAAGGAGAAACCTGTGCCACGTCCCCTGAGACTCTTGTGCCAGTCAAGAGTGATTCGGTTGAATATGTGCGTGCGGACGCGATGCAGCCAGGCTGAGGAGACGAGTGCGCATGTTCGAAGCGAGGCGTAGTCATCGTGGAGATGGTCGATGATGTTGTCGAAAAGTTCTTGAGGGAGTCGTGCGTCCATTAGAGAGGGGTATAGTACCTCCTGGATTCTTCATGCATTAGAGCTAGAGGCGGAACGGTACCTAAGGCCTAACTCCGGGTAGCGGATTGCATTTGCAAGCCTTTACCTGGGACTCGGTTGATGCCGGTACAGTAAACCCGGTGCTCCGGCTGAGAGCCTCATGATGCGGAACGAAGTCGTTCGTTCCACAAACTTATACTTATATTCACACAAGAGATTGTGTTATTGTTGCTGGGCCGAATGCCAGAGGGTGCCAAGTCTTGACTTACGCCGCGAGCACCAATTTGCTCGCAAGCCGACCTTCTCCTCGACCATGAGCAGGCCACAGGGAGAAAGTAGCGTCATAACATTAAACACAGTATGGGTCGGTCTTAGAAAGCATTGCTCCAATATTTATTTATGTAGCACGTATTGTGAGTGACCCAAAGTGATGTTGCATAACGGGCGCTTATTTTAGGAGAGAAACGGCATGACCGGCCCGGGCGCTAGCAACGAAGTCGCAAAATGATCCAAAATCCACTGGGACGAGTCCGACTCTTCATATCCCTGTGGGGTGTTAAAAACTGTATGTATTGTTTCTTTTCTCTGTTCGCAGGGTCATCTACATGGGCCCCCCTTCTGACGTTCAGTTGAATTTCTTTACCTCGAAAGTCCGAGATCGCATATCTTCATTTTCATTCGATAAAATGATCAATGAGTCTTCATTGGGACACCCGGTTGCGTGATGATGTGCCTACGGTGGGGTGATCGTGCGAATAATGAATGAATATCACACACCCAAAACACCGCAATGAGTGGCTCTGAGGTGCGAGGACAGGTTCCCAGTTGTGCGGCTCTAACCAGTGGGCACGCGCGACCAGCAAACGGGGGACGACGGTGGGCGCTAAGCGTGGGATCAGAATGGCGATGGCGGCGAGATCGAAAGACGGGGCAACGGTGGGTCGAAATGGCGAGTCGAAACGAGGCTGAGAGCGACGAGAGAAGGCGTACGAGAGACGAGGGCGAGGTATGAGTGCCCCGAGTGGGCAAATGAGACGAGGAACTGTATGTTATTGGGGGAAAAGAGTAAGTACAGACATTTTGTATCTACAAAAAACAGGAGCACCGGTGAGGTATTTCTCCGAACCGGGCTGCAGGAATAAAGAATAAGAGAAAATCTTCCACAGAAATAAATAAGAATGATAAAAATTAATCAAATGACGAGGGGACGCAACGGACGACTGCGCTGATGGTCTTGATATGGCAAGGGTGGCGCGTCGAGGCTTCGCTTCGACTGGAACCATGTGGGCTGATCATGGGGCTTGCTGATGTTCTGGCTGAGGGTCTCCGGGTGCGTCGAGGAATCATATGGCTCAATGGGAAAGGTGTCGGGGATCGAGGGGACGACGAGAATGCGATGACGAAAGTCGAAAAAAGGGATTTTCCGAGGCTAGGCAGCGGGCTGGCTCATCAGTGATCTGTGTAAGTGCGATCTTTCCCTTCGAAATTCATGAAAATCCGAGAAATGTATTCCCTGAGAGATCTTACATCGCCTCATAGTGGGCACCGTGAATTTTAGGTGCAAGAAGGAAGGGTTTAGCTTGACTTCTATGATCAGGCAAACCTGTGACGACTGCGCTTCGTGGTAATGCCCCAATTTTTCCTTGCTCCTACCTTTCGGCCCGGGAAAATATGACATTCATTTTGTGGTGATGTCCTCATTGACTTCGACAACTCAATCCATTGGACGATGCCTGGAGACGCCGTCGGAGAAGAAACCTGCCAATTGTGCCATTTAACCGAAGACAAGCGTCGCCGATCTCCGTTCTATTCCTGTAATTGACATAGCTTGGAGGCTTCAATTATTTTAGTCCCGGAAATCAACGAGAACCTGAGGACATGTAAAGGACAAAAAGCCTGGAAGGCCTGCCAAGCAAAAGCAATGAATTAGAAGAAGTCGCAGAAGCATACTATTTGCTATTTTCCATGATCACTCGATTGATCACGTCTTTACGCAACATTGTGAAGCCTGCATTTTCGTACATATAGCGGGGCCGCAATATCACCCTCTTCAAATAACGTCAAATGGTGCTTGTATTTGACATTGGGCAACCTCAAACAAACGGAACGTCTCGGATTCTAGAGCGCCTTCCCGACGAATGTCCATCAAACACCCGAAGGTGCATTCCGTTCGGCCCCTCGTCACAGACGGGCGCTAATACTTTCAAGCAAATGATTAAAAGTATGATACCTTGAAACCAAGGCGCAATTTGAGAGTATCGAGCAAGCTTTCTGCCAAGAGCATGCCATTGCAGTGTCCGACTTAAAAAAAAGGACGTCGGATAATTCGAATTCTCTACGGCGATTGTCTATCAAACAAATGGCTCCGCCATGAGGCGCAGAAGGTATCCCCGAAACGGCTCCAAAATTCGGAGATGCAGGTCCATTTTGCGGAAACGAGTGTCTGGCTGGCCTCACTTACGTATAAATACTGTTCTACCAACTCAGACAGGTCCCCCAAGTCCCAAGAACTCTAAAGCTATCGAAATCAACTCGAAATGCGTGCTACATTCAAGCTTGTCCTTTTGGCCGTCGCCACGTCTGTCACGAGCATCGCTCATGCCAAACCTGGTATGTTTTCCATTACATAAAACAAAAGGACAAGCGTGCTCACCGAGAATATTTTAGTCCCAGCTGTGGAGGTCGCCGACAGCAGGACCAAGCCGCCACCACCTCCCCCCACCACAAAGCTTACTTTACCGCCCACTTTGCCTCCCCCTCCCACTACAAAGCCAACCCTACCTCCGACTTTACCGCCTCCACCGCCCACTACGAAGCCAACCTTGCCTCCAACTTTGCCACCACCTCCCCCAACCACAAAGCCGACCACGAAACCGACTTTACCACCTACCTTACCACCTCCGCCTCCAACCACGAAGCCAACTTTACCACCAACTTTACCTCCTCCCCCACCTCCTCCTCAACCTACCACTGCCAAGCCCCCGACTGATGTCTTCCCGCCGATCCCTACGGTTACTCGCATCACCGCATCTTAAACCTATGTCAAAGATGATCTGTTCGCACGTTCACGGAAGTTGAGTAGCTACGAAGTATGAATAGTACGTCGTTTGGTAGGTATGTTTCCTCGTCTCAGTCGTTCGTACAAAGGTGTCATGTCTGAATACCCCGAGAAATGCAAAGAAAGCCCACACTAAAGTTGTCGTTGTAATTCAGGCTGACCATGAACTTGTCCCCGGGGAAGAAATTTTAGAGTTCAAGTTGCTGAGGGTGCACCGTCGAGACGTGCCGTCAGGAGCCGGCTGCCGATCATTATCCACGGCAAGTTCCGGCCGCTGCTGGATTTTAACCTGCCAGTAACCACCGTGACCGGTTGACCGACTCTGCATGCTTATAGTGTAGACTTGCGTCGAGCAATCAGTCTGCCGCAGGACAGGGTCAAAGAAAGCCTGGAACAACAACGGCTACCCGGTGACACGCCATCGTAGAAAATCCTCTCATGGCTAGAAAAGCAAAAAAATCTCATTCTGCAAAGTCCGAGCAACCTGTGGAACCTGTCGGAACCGACGCCGAATCTCCTGTTGAGCAACTCCCAACGGAACTGCTACGCGAAATCTTTTACTGGGTATATTGGAACTCCATTTCCTGAACTGTCATTACGTTCTTACGATCCCTTCTTTCAGTGTCGGAACACGTCCGATTGCGTGAAGGTTCAAGGGAATCTATGTTTGGTTTCTCGACGCTTCAAAAAGGTTGCCCAACCTATGCAACTGGCCACCATATCCCTTGGTAGCTTCAGTCATACGCAAAGGAACAAAGCCTCACAACTGAAAGCTCTTGCGGCTGGTGGTTCCTCGGCCAGTAGACTTGCGCAAGCCATAGTAATCGACTACTCCGACGACCCTGAATACGACCCAACGAACGTGCTAAGCCAGTTAGAGCGGGCTATGCTCAAAAATCTTACGGCGGCAATCCGGTCGTTCGAAAGGGTTTCGAGGGTGATGTGAGTCCTGTCTATCCTGTGAGAGCTGCTCCTAATGGTTTCAGCTGGAGCTTTGGTCTTAAATACCCAATATGGATGCCCGAACTTGTATTGGAGGGGCTGAAGAGCTTGCCCTTGACCGACCTAACTATCCACTTTCCCGATTATTCCTGGCCTAACTTTGAGCTGCCATCGCTGTCGAATCTTCACCGTTTCTCTATACGATTGCATTCCTTCCCCACACAGCCCCAACCTCTCATAGAAAGCTCATTGTCGAAATTTATTCGCCAATACACGCAATTATCTGGTCTCGAGGTCGACATGCGCTTACCGTCGCTAGCCCATGTTCTACCTGTCGTCGATGCCAACACGTCACCCCTACCGCTGAAGCACCTTTCACTGAACAATGTGTCCGTAACATCAGACAGCCTGACTTCCTCGCTTGCTCACCTACGCAAGTTGGTGTCTTTCTGCATCTACAACGCTGAATGCGAACACCATTTTCTTAAACCGGCGCTAGACGGGTCTTTGACCGGCAGGAACCTATGGACGGTTTTCTCTGATGCCGGTATTCGTCTCAGCAATATCCTCACTGACACTTCGCGGGATGCGTCTTTTCTTGCCTACCTCCAAAAGACCCAAGACGTGAATAGCCTGACGATATCCTTTTTACGCAGTGATTCAATCTGGTTCGATGACCCTCCACTCCATAAAACTTACAGTTGCTTGTTCCTCGTGTGGCAAGTTGTCTAGTGGAGCTCACCATTGTTCCCCGGGACCCGGGCCCGCAGAGCTGCCCATTCGAAGAACGCGTTGTTCTCGTCTTATCTCAACTCAAGCACCTGCGTCGATTGACTCTGACTGTCGACATGGGAAAACTTGTCCGCATCCCTCTTTCCTACGGGGCCGAAACCCAGATGGAAGAATCTCTCGTGTGTTTTCGCTTCTTGATTCGGCCCTTATCTCTCTCACTTTGAACCTTTTCAGAAACCGATCTTGCTGATGTGCGACAAACTGCCGGCTCTCGAGGAACTCTCCCTCGAGCTTTACAACGACTACGTGTGGGTATTAGAGAATTCTGAGACCAGAGTCTATCAGGCCTTCGAGTCGTTTGCCAGGCAAGGCTCCCTTTTGGAGACGTCTCAGTATGTCGTACTGGTCGATCATTCCGTTTATACATTGCATCGTAGCCTCCTTGGAGTTTCATAGCAATACTTAAATCTGCTTTTTGTCGTTCTTTGCAGCTAGCTCTGCTTTGCGATTTATTTTGTCGGACCGACCAATCCGCATGTGTGAACTACGTAGAGAAAAAATGTTCCTTGGCTTCTACTTCCACCATTGGTTTCCTCAAAGCTGTACGCGGCGCCGTGAGCGCCCTTTCCACCTCTCTTAAGGCTTCAATAATGTCGGAATCGACGACGTCCAAACCCAGGAAGCTCGGAGGATATGATTTCTACAGGGATGTACTAGGAAGTCCGAAATACATCGTTGCGCCGATGGTGGATCAGAGTGAGTTGGTGCGTCTTGTCATCACTTTTCAGCGAATAAACGTTCATATTACCCGTAGGCGTGGAGGAGATTGTCTAGAAGATACGGTGCTCAGGTGAGTAACAACGGAGTGCCAGCGAATGCGGAGCTGAAGAAGTTTTCCAGCTCATCTACACCCCAATGATCAATGCAAAGGTCAGCGTCGAGAAAATGCACCACGTATATCCGAATTAATTCGAACTACAGATATTCGTCGACTCGACGAATAAGGCCTACCGACAGGCCAACTTTGACATGATCAATGGTGAGGAGGGAGACCCGAAGACAGACCGGCCTCTCATCGTGCAGTTTTGCGCCAACGACCCTGAGCAGCTCCTCGCCTCTGCTCTAGCAGTGCAAGACCACTGTGACGCTGTCGATTTGAACCTGGGATGTCCGCAGGAGATAGCACGGAAGGGGCGCTACGGGTCGTTCCTGCAGGATGAGTGGGAGCTAATATACAAGCTCAGTGAGTCTATTTTTCATTTACCCTCTTGTCCTACTTTCTAAGTACCTGAACCCCTCAGTCAACACCCTCCATGTCAATCTCTCTATCCCCGTCACGGCCAAGTTCCGCGTGTTCCCAACCATCGAAAAGACAGTAGAGTACGCGAAGATGCTCGAGCGAGCAGGAGCTCAGATTCTCACCTGTCACGGCCGGCTACGCGAGCAACGCGGACAGAATAGCGGCCTGGCCGACTGGGTGAAGATACGTGCTGTCAAGAAAGCCGTCTCCGTGCCAGTGTTCGCCAACGGGAACATCTTATACCAGGAGGACATCCAGCGGTGTTTAGACGAGACGGGGTGCGACGGGGTCATGAGCGCCGAAGGGCAACTGTACAACCCCGCCTTGTTCGCTGGGATCGGACGGCCGTTGGAGCCAGGGGTGTATGCCATGGACGAGGAGATCCTGAGGCGACAGCCTCGGCATGCGGACCTGGCCCTGGAGTATCTGGAGATCGCGAAGGAGCTGAAGACTGCGACGAGCGTGAGCGCGATCAAGGGGCACCTATTCAAGATAATGCGCCCTGCTCTGGGGAGAGAGACAGATCTGAGGGAGACATTGGGCAAGGCGAGGGTACACCCGAAGAGAGTGAAGGAAGATATCGAGGCGTATGTGACCGTGTGCAAGGAGATGAAAGAGAGGATGGAGGTGAACTTTTTTCTTTTCGTCTATTCCTTTATGAGCTCGTTGACCGTCATCTTTCCAGCGAGATGAGAAAGCAGCCGTTGGCAAACCAATCAGAGATCTTATTACCATTGACCCCGTTACTGGAATCAGAGTGATGCCGCATTGGCTTGCGCAACCCTATTTCAGACCATTACCCGAGCAGAAGAAAGCATACGGTTTGTCGATCTTGTCTGTTCGTGCCCTAAATTTTCACTTATTCGTCTCGCCGCAGCGGCATTGACCACGCACGAAGACGCGTCCGCGCAGAAACGGCCTCTTGAAGAACCGCGCCAGAACAATGATGAGGCAAAGCGCGTGCGACTCAATGATACATCGACAGGTTGTGCGGTGGTAGGACAGGCATTGGTTGTGCCTCCGCCTTTCGTTGTGACGCCGTCAACCGCTGAGGTGTCGATATAGATCTGACTGCAGACACTGCTTCCAAAGCTCATCCGCTCGGCGCTAGACGGGATATCATTTTACATTATGTTCATACACTATTCTACTAGTTTCTACTGACTAATATGTAGAATCAGGGTCAGCGTATATACAGTGCAAATATTAAGGATTTGTTCTGCCTCATTGACGACCCGAACGAGAGACGACAAATGAGAATGAGGACGCCTCCAGATTCCAAGAGAAGGAATAATTCATCGTAATTCATCGGGTCCTACATATCAAGTTCCGAGTCGCGATGTAGTGTGCATGTTGCATGCTCAAGCGCTCAACCTGCACCTGGTAGTGAGAAGTGTCAGGAGGGAAGTCAGGCCTGACGAAGATCACTGGATGGCCTCTCAATTAATCTCTCCGCACGGACGATATCGCGGCAGCCAATTGCTCGTGAGTTGGGATCGGCACGGGATGGAAATATTGGTATTCAATTTCCCGCCTGGTCAGCTGCTCTCGAGGGGGAAGTTCGTCGTATAGTGTCTTCATCCTCGACGCAGCCGAGTCCATTGAAATCCTATCAGCAGGGTTGGCGCTCGTCATATCATGCATGAGGTCCAGCAGTTTCGGGACTTCATCGAGGATCTTCCACTACGTTTGACGTCGTCAATAAGCCCGCATGGTGGTTCGAAAGAGTTGGGAAAATGCTACTTACGCCGAACCAGCTGAAGATCATCTGGGCCGCTTGGTATACATCCGCGGCGAAGGGGTCGTACAGCTGGTCACCATCGACTTCTGGTGCACGGGTGGGACGACCACGGCGGTCATTCACGAGACGATTGGAGCGTGTAGCGTCAGTTGGGAAGTGTACTGAGTATCCGAAGTCGATGAGAGAATATTTAACTGGGAACGTTGAGCGGAACTCGGGCACAGGTTCAATTTTCATCGGGAAGCCGTTCTCTCCGCCCCAGGCGCAGAGATTTGGCGTCTGGCCATGGTAGTTCATCATTATGTTTTCGGGTGAGATATCCTGTCAAGGGTTGAAAGCGTGTCTGAGTGACGTCTTTGCATGATCAACAGCGCCTCGGAAACTTACTCGATGGGCGATGTTGTTCTCATGAAGAAAAGCTAAGGCCTGAATCATGTCGATATCAGCACAAGAAGAAATAAATCACGGAAAGCAGGGACAAAGGCACACTTACATGGAGTACTTGTGAAGCCAAGTCCAAGCATTCCACCGAGGTGAGCAAGGGGTACATTGATGCACCGCAACACATGGGCATTACAGCGAACTCCCAGTCCTCATAATCGATAAACTCGAGCACAGGGACAGTCGCGTTCCTGGTGTCCGCTCGCATGAATTCTGTATTCAATAAACATAGAATCTGATACTCGGCTGAAATGTCGGGTGAGTCCGAACACTTTCCGAGGAGTTTGATGACCACATCTCGGTTCTTCCTGGTGAAAAGGAGACGCGTTTATCAATTCCTAGTATAATTGTTAGCAAATATTAAGCTTACTCGTCACGAGCAGCAGCAGCAATGCCACACTACTGTGATATCAGCGCCTGCAAATGTCATGGAAGCATCAGAATTTACATGCAGGAACTCTGTGTCGGGCATGGAATGCGCATTCCTAGATTCTGACCCATACAGACCAAACGAATCAGAAGAAGGGGTTCCAGGATTCAAAGGTGGGCAGGACGAATCGTTCACGTTCAGCTCGAAAAGAGTGTAGCCCTTGCTCTTGAAGAATGGTCGAAGGGCGAACCAAGGATACCACCAACACTCATGATGTTGGTAATCTTGAGCCCTTTTGCCCTCGCGAACGGGTACAACAAGTCCTTTCCACTCTTTAACTGTCTTGGGGAAATGCTTCTCGAACGACATCAGATTAGGACGACGACAAGAAATAGGCATACCTCAAGCTTGCATTCTATATTTCCGACAGTCATGTTGCTAGAATCCTTCTAGCAGATGTCCTTTTCACTATCAAAAGAGGGAAAGTCTCTGAATCGCGCAGTAGTATGGGGGGTGGGGAGAATCCTGGGCCTGATGTTGGAAGTTCGTTCGTTCCAAGGTTGCTGTGTCGTTTGGTCGTGTTTGGTCATCAATCGTGGGTCCAACTAGCCGCCAAGAACGTTGATGAGCGCCCAGCGTTGGCCCAGCCCGCTTCTTGTATCGAAGATCTATACCCAAAGAGAGTCCTGCAGTGTTTGTGATGCGTCACCGTTCATGACTCTCTCTACCACGAGGCAGGTCTTCGAGAGATACAAATTTCGCAGCGAGAGTTTCGCTGTTTCTTCACCTCTTCGCCTCTTAGTGACACCACCCCCTTCGCTATCATGTCCGGTCAGAACAACTTCTATCCCGGTGCTCAGCCATTTTACGTGCAATACAATTACATCAATTATTATTCGGTGAGTCCATGACCGGCTTTGAGTGGCACGTCGGCGGTCGCTTTTCCTCATCAAGGCCTTACCGACATTACTTAGGGTTACGTTCGAGTTATCGACATGAACCATGAGTTCTACGACCAAGTCGGCTTCATATCACCCCGTGACGCACTTCCTTCGGTACCATGTTACTTTGCTGGTATTTTCTGCAATATTTCTAACAGATATTCATCTCAGGATCCTGAAACCCGAGAAAGAACGACTTACCAGGTGTCTTTCATCCTCTCGAGTGGAAGGAGGGTTTCCCGCTACCTGGAGCACCGCCAACTTGAAAGGGCTACTCGGCAGTAGTAGATTATCGAGTTCATAGTGGTCATTCTGAAGTCGTCCCTGGGAGAGCTCTATGGTCCTTCTGCTTTCACGTCCTTTCAGATTCTATTTTTATGATATACTTGTGTTGCCCTCGTTTCAATGTAATATCTTGTGTTACGAAAATATTCTGGTATTATCGAGCGATATGATAATCGGTAACTGACAACCGGTTAGCTCTTCAAGTGCATGATGGTCCCTTGCCTTTCAACGCTCGAATAGATCGGAAAATAGACAACAAGGGAGATAGAGTGGCTTATTATCTTCTATAAGGAGCATTGATTCTCCATGAGATATCGGTAGGCACAGCGTGATCTTATTGTCCAACTGAGGACGTGCAAGACCTCAGATCTCAGATCTCAGAGGGCGGGAGACTGGTTGAACGCTGGATGGTGCTGTGGGCTCTCGTGTGATTCCAGTGTACAAATTCTAAATTGCTCAGGCGTTGAGTCAATTTGAGCACTTTTTTGGCATTAACAAGCATCATACCCTGATATATCTGACAAGACCTAGGTTTTAACGTGTCCTATCAGAAAGGAGCCAAAGAGACAGGGGTGAGCTTGTGGGTACATGTCAGTGGACTGACGTTCTGTCCGGGAAATTCCGTAATGATGCTAATCGCAAATAGGCGCCCGTTTCACAGCACGACTTGCACAGCGTGAATAGACGCAGTATTAAGCACACCATAGTGAGAGCAGAGAGGTGTTTAGTCGCTATTTCAGTTGGGAATGAAAATCCCCCCTTAGGCCCTCCAAATTTGCTAGACGAATGGATCTAAGGAATAACGGTGCTGTGTCTGGACGAATCAAGTGAACTTTGGCAGAGTCTGACGTACAACACAGAAGCATAAATTTGAGATCGGCATCCCTGTGTCAGAATAGTGACTCAGTGGATGTGCGAAGGATCCACCAGCACCATTTCACAGCTCAGTCGAGGGCCTGAGCCTGTTGTCTGTGGCATCCAAACACGAGGCGAACCGCAGACACCATGACTGTGTCCTTGATAAAAGTGCGACCGCACTTTCAAGTTCCCATTTTGTCTAGCTTCTAGACTTCTTACGACGTGCTCGGGTCCATCTTTTCTCCGCCGACATTCTCCATAAACCTGTCATAATCTGGGTCCCGCAATCACCCCATGACCGTGCCTAGACAAATGATTCAGAGGTGCGTGCGCTCGCCTGTAGGCTTCTTGAGTCATAAATGTAGCACCTCAGGGCGTAAGTCGATTATTGTTATCTTTTATTTCATGGCTGTTATTAGACTGCTTCATGACAAATTCGTCGCTAAATAAGAAAGCTAAGTATCAACTTGAAGTTGAACGGCATTGTATCACTGCAGAAGTAAAAATGAAGGTGGGGTCCCTTCAACTTTTTGGCATGGCTTCAGCCAGCTGCTTGTGAGTTGGGATCGGTACTGGGTAGAAATATTGGTCAGCTGCTCTCGAGGGGGAAGTTCGTCATATAGTGTCTTCATTCTCGACGCAGCCGAGTCCATTGAAATCCTATCAGCAGGGTTGGCGCTCGTCATATCATGCATGAGGTCCAGCAGTTTCGGGACTTCATCGAGAATCCTCCACTGCATTTTACATGATTAATCAGCTTCGAAAGGCGGCCGAGAGTGTTTGAAAAAAGGACACTTACGCCGAACCAGCTGAAGATCATCTGCGCCGCTTGGTATACATCCGCGGCGAAAGGGTCATACAACTGGTCACTGTCAACTTCTGGTGCGCGGGTGGGACGACCACGGCGCTCGCTTATGAGGCGCTCCGAACGTGGAGCATCAGGCGGGAAGTACACCGAATACCCAAAGTCGATAAGCGAATATTTGACTGGAAATGTAGAACGGAATCCGGGGACAGGTTCAATCGGGATAGGGACACCGAATCCGTCGTCTCCCTGGCCCCAAAAAAAGAGATCCGGAAGGTGACCGTGGTAGTTCATCACTAAGTTGTCGGGCGAAATATCCTGGGGAAGTTGGAAGCATTGTAAGTAAAGGTTTGCATGGCGTGGTCGAATACTTGGAAGCTCACTCGATGTGCGATGTTCTTCTCGTGGAGATAAGCCAAGGCCTAACTCGCCTCGATATCAGCACAAAATGTAGCAGAGGGGCGAATAATAATCTTACATGAAGTAATTGAGAAGCTAAATTCAAGCACTCTTCGGACGTCAGCAGGGGATACGCTGCTGAGCCGCAACACATGGGCATAACAGCGAACTTCCAATCCTCGTAATCAATAAATTTAAGAACAGGAACTGTCGCGTTACATTGGTCTGCTCGTGCCAATTCCGTGTTCAATAAGCAGAGAAGCTGATACTCGTCTGAAATATCCGGAGAGTCCGACCGCTTCCCCAGGAGTTTGATGACTACATCTCGATTGCTCCTATAGAAATCTCATCGATGAGTACCAATCCGATTTTTGGGAATAGTCAGCTCACCCATCTCGAGCTGCAACAGCGATTCCATGCTGATATATCTCAGTGTCCGCGAGTGTCACTGAGAAGGGCCACGAGACGTACATGGAAGAATTCTGTATGGGGCACAACATTGGCGTTCCGAGTTTCGGACCCATACAAACCAAAGGAGTCTTTGGAAGGGGGACCAGGAATACAAGGTCGCGAACCGGAGTCAGTTGTATCCAGTTCGAAGAGAGTGTAGCCCTTCGTCTCGAAGAATGCCCGAAGGGCGAACCAGGGATACCACCAACACTCATGGGGTTGGAAATCCTGCGCTCGTTGACCTTTACGACTAGGATCGACTAATGCTTTCCAATCTGAAAATGTCTTGGGGAAATGCTTCTCCGAGGAGTCAGATCATAGTAGAAGAGAGATAATTCGGGCAACAGTCACACCTCAGGATTGCAGTCTATGTTTGAGAAGGTCGCTTCCACGTTCATATTAATTAGCTCTGTGTCTCTTTGACTGGCCAGTGGTGAGGGGAATTAATACTTCTAGGGTTCGCAGTTACTTCGGGGAAGGGGTTTAAGGACAGCCTTGGATGCTGTGCAGTTTGGTGATATTTTGACGTCAATTGTGGGCTCGGCAATAGAGGCTTTGCGCAAAGCCAGCTGGAGCCAGTGCTGGCTCAAAAACGTTGCGCTGTGTCATGTAGCCAGCAGTGGCCAATTGGCGACTATGCTTTTAACTTAGTCTTATGTAGCACCATGTATGTCTGGATGCCAGGGGAGTTCAATGACAGTGCAAGTATTTCATCGAATTCATCCGTACAGGTACGGCAGTCTCCAGAAACTAACCTATATATGGAAACTGAGCCAGCAGAAAATATCAACCGAGATCAACCGTTGATCAACCGCCCCCACAGACTGATATCGCGTGGGGCTCTCCAGCAAATATGAGTCTATAGAGAGATGTAAGTAATATTAATATATGGCATTCATTGGTCTGGTATTCAGGTTCTGCTGGCTAAAGGTCTCAGCGCAACGCATTTGAGCCACCACTGGCTCCAGCTGGCTTTGCGCAAAGCCTCTAATATCCACGAGATGTAGAGCAAGACGAGTGTAGATTTCTTTCGATGAAGAGATTTCCGTCAGGGATTGTATCATTGGATTTCTTCCAGGATTCGAACACTATTACGTTTAGCTTAGGATCAACTTAGAGTTCTTCAGACAAATTTGTTAGGCGCCTGTCAGGTCTTACCCCTATCGACAAGCTTCCGTAGAACCATCAACATGATGGATCATCGAGACGCTGTGAGTTACAATTAAATATAACCTACTGTAGTCGGGCGCGTTGCATAGAAGTAGAAGAGTTCCGTTCTGCTTTCACAGTTCTTCAGTCATGATCAACGACTTTGCTTTCGGTGACCTCGGCGAGATTACACATTTGAAGGGCAGGGGATGGCTGGTGAATTGCCCGTTTTATGATCAGAAACAGACTAGAAAAAAAGCTTTCTGAGCACCCACCTGATAATCCCCGTCGTCTGCTCGTGGGGATGCTTGAAAGGTGTATCATCCTTGGCAGTTTTTCTTATATTGAACACCGCGAGCGACATGGCGCATGACAGGAAAATTGACGCATCTGCTAGGATGCGACCTAGATCGATGATTACCAGAGACCTGTGAGCTCCAATGTAGGCGTCCTTAGCTGCGTTTTCTCACCTGGGCAGATCCTGAAATCACTCGTTAGAAGAATAGAGGCTATAAATGATACATGAGATACTCACCTTCTACCGAATCCAAAACACACTTCGCGTGGGTCTGGCTCTGGATGTGCACCCAGATATCTCTCTGGCTTGAACGCAAAGGGGTCCGAGTACACCTTCGGGTCGTGTGACATTTGCCTGTTTTAAAAAAGTGTCGATCAGAAAGGGACAAACCGAAGTTCAATAGTTGTCTGACCAGACATTTGGGATGACCAAGGCACCTTTCGGTATTAAATACCCATCATGAATGTTATCCTCCGTGACGCGATGCGGCGCTGCTTCATGTCTCGCGTCAGTAAAAGGGCGTAAGCTCGACGAAAAGGACTCACCGGTCGGGGCCACTGTATGCCATCGAAGGACCTCCGAAGTGAGCGCGTTCACGTATGGCAGGTTTTCACGGTCAGAGAAGGTAGGTAGTCTGTTTGGGCCAACCACTGCATCTAGCTCCTGCTGCGCTTTTCGCATAACCTCCGGGAAGAGGACCATCGCGAGGAAGAACGCGTAAATCGAAGATACAGTCTAAACAAGATCAAGATGATTTTCTTGGATTAGCGGCACTCGAACGAGCTTACCGTGTCCGCACCTCCAGAATACAGAGAGGCGGCTGACCACTTGATTTCGTGTTCGCGTTCAGGCGTCGGTTCGGTGCTTTCTTCCTCCAAAAGGCGGGAGACAAAGGACATCTCGGCCGTCCCATTTCTCTGCGGCAGAACGACGTATTGATATATACTACGCTACCCGGACAAGAAACGAAAGTAAGACTAACCATTTGCTCCTTCACCCACTCGTGGGGGTTGTTGGTCATCGCGTTCAATGTCTGTGCCCATAATTTGGCCGTCTTCTTGAACCCGGCACCAGGGAACCATGAAGGGAGATAACGCACTGAACGACAAGGAGTGAGTGATACAGGCATCGGTTGTTCTCAGCCACTTACATGGGGGTACAAGGTTCACCAAAAATCCTCCTGGGGCCGTCGAGAGCGAGAACTGCTCTGTGGCTTCGTCTGCCAGCTTGACGAGGGGGTCGTGATTCCCCTCGATGTCATACCCATACGCAATACGAAGGATAATGGCTCCAGCAGTCCTGACATGAAATTCAGGATGAGTGAATGACGTCGAACAACTGGCCGGACATCAGTCACCTGCGAATATGCTCGGCCAGAAGGTCTGGTTCCGCAAGGACGAGCGTCAAGAAGTGACGCGTCTCCTTCTCTTCGACCTGGTAGAACTCGGACACAGCGGCCGGCGTTCCAACGACGTGATGGAGCATTCGGCGATAGTTGCGGAAGCGCTCTCCGTAGGCCAGCATAACAAGTGTGTCCTTCCACCCGACGAGCTCGCCCCCCATCACTACCACTGGCCTATCAGAGTATATAGAACTCTTCTTATCTAGCATCTCCGTGGCGGTTTTTGCAGAGTTGACGATGATTATCGGTTGACCGAGGATTGATAACGAGACGATAGTGCCTGCACCAGATTAGTTAGGACTAAATCCAGATATTTCATGAGGAATGCGCACCCCATTTTTCACCCCATTCCGAGAATTTGAGCCACTCATGGGTCGTCGGCATATCCAAGAGATTTTCGAGAAGAGGGAGCCTTCGCGGGCCCGGCGGCATTAATAGTGCCGACTTCCTCTTGACGAGTCGATTCACCAAGAACACCCCGAAGAAGAGCAACGCGACGTCGAGAATTGTGAGTAGTCTGGCCATGATGGATGCAAACAAGAATGGACGGTCAGATGCTGATCCCCGCTTTATAAATGAACGCATCTCGCGAATCCATAAGAGCTCCAATCCAAGTCAGCTCGGTGATTCAGAGTCTGCATTTATCGTGTACCGGGGTAACCTCACCATTTCCGGCTTCTTGAATATGTTCATCACAGAAAATGCGGGATGTGGTGTTCCGGAAGCATAGACATATCATGGCCGGATAATAGGCTGGACAAAAGGAGATCCTAGAAGGTCCAGTGACTACGGTGTTGGAGGCAGCGAATTCTAAAGATAAAGACTAGAGTCTAGAGGGGTGATCAACAGGCTGAATACGCAAATTAATCAGAAAACGCACCCAAGACCATCATGTTTTGCCTCGGCGAGACTCGGAGAACTGGCTCCTCTGACACGTAGTCCGAACGTAGTCTTCCTTCCAACCGAGGTGAACGATCGAGGAGCTGGGTCTTGACGACTTTACGTCTACGTCCGCTGAAACATACACAATATTTTGAACCTTTTATGTGGTTTCCAGATCCAGTGTCCACGTCTGGGAGATAAAAGATGGACAAGTCACGACATCAACGCGGCGTTGTCACGTGCAAACACATCAGAATTGCCCCTATCTCAGTATCTGTCACGCGTCCACGCAACGCGTCGCCGGTTTTCTCGGAGCGCTCAAGATAACTTGCCAACGGCAGACCATCAACGTGGATGAAGATCTCCTTCAAAGTGCCGTGAATCATGAGTTAAGGGGAATTTTGGGAGATAGAGTGCTTCTAGAAGCTATGAAGCTATGACTTGTTCTCATGGATTGACTCCTGGCCACCAGCAGTCATTGGACAGCCACCGAGTGATATCAGAAACTCTCTGTCAGGCCAGATACATAGATTGTAGATACTTGAACGCCTGTGGTTAAATGAAGTACCTCATGGTAATATAAGACTTTGAATATTGTACGGGTGGACGGCTTCTATATATTAGTAAGTAGCTTCTTTTAAGAGCACCGCGTTCAAAAAGGCGTCCAAGTGCCTTTTTTGACACGATATTAATTCATTGGTGTATTTTTACCTGCCATGAGGTCAAGTCCTGGAGCTATATTACCCTGAAGGAAACTTTGGGTCGTCCAACGTCACACTCTTCCTTCCTTCGTCTCGGCATCATGAAGGCAGCAAGATACTACGCCCCAGGAGACGTCCGCGTCGAACAGATACCCGAGCCCGAAGCAAAGTCGGGCCAAGTGAAGGTCAAGGCGAGTGGCTCGTGGCATATCTGGGTCCTTTAAAAGCGTAACAAAGCCCAGATTTCTTGGTTAGTCTTTGGAATGTGTGCCCTATGTTGTCCAGACCATAATCAAATGGTGCTTTTCGATTAAGGAATGGGAGTATGTAGCCAACAGTAAGCTCGCTGCTCAAGCTTGCATACTCACAATCCAACAGTTTGCGGAAGCGACCTTCACGCATACTTGACCCGAATTTCCAAGTTTCCAACCTTGACTGAGGCAAATGAGCTATCTGGGGAGACACTTCCCATTACTCTGGGCCATGAGTGCGTCCTTCATTACTCAGTTCATACCTTTAATGCACACTCATCTCATTCACGAAGAATCTCTGGCACCATCGTAGATATTGGAGGCGGCTTCGACAGCAAATTCCAAGTCGGACAGAATGTTGTAATGTGCGTGATTGGCACCCTCGACATCTACTTCTCCAGAGCTTCGAAACTTCAGCGAACCGATTATTTCATGCCGCAAACGCGACTGTCATTGCTGCTCGAACAATCTGAGCAATGTGTGTCCTCTTACCAATGGGACTGTAAGCTTAATCCTCCCCTCCTCTGTAGAACTTTTAGCTTATAGCATACCAGGGAATCGGAGGTTGGGGCGGTGGGCTTTCGGAGTTCATCGCGGTCGATGCGCGTCTTGTTCATATCCTGCCCAAGGCAATTTCTCGTATGTTTCCCTTTCTTTGCCCTCATAGATAGGAATCACGTCAAGTTACTCGGAATAGTCGAAGTAGGGGCCATGATCGAACCACTCGCCGTCGCCTGGCACGCCGTCAAACGCTCTGGCTTTAAACCCGGCCAAAGTGCGCTCATAGTCGGCGCTGGACCTGTGAGTCTGCTTGTCCCCTAACTCTGAGTACGCTTACGACCGAGTTCTCTCTTCCAGATTGGCTTGTTCCTTTTGAAAGTCCTCCGGTGAATCCCCTCTTTCTTTTCCTGTCTTGCCCCGATACCAACCCCAACTCCCGCAGGTCGTTCGACCCTTCCACCACCATCATCGTCTCCGAACCTGCCAAGATCCGACGCGAGCTTGCTTTAAAGCACAGTGCAACGCTTGCCCTCGACCCTTCCTCCTTGTCCACTCCTGTCGTCGATGCCGTCCTGCAGGCGACGCACGACATCGGCGTGGACGTCGCATTTGATGCTGCAGCTGTCCCTTCTGCCGTCGACGCTGCTCTGCTCAGTGTGCGCCCGCACGGCCTATTCGTGCTTGTGGGTATTTGGGAAGAGAAGCCGCGCGTGGATTTGAATTTGGTCGTGTTGAGAGAGATTACAGTTACTGGTATGTCCTTGATCGAGTAGGCGCACAGGGCGATAATGGACCGTCTGAGTGCCTTTTGCAGGTAGCGTTGTTTATCGCGACGACCATCCGGAGCTGTTGGAGGCGGTAGAGTCTGGGAAGATAAAAGGACTCGAGGACCTCATAACGCGAAAGATTGCGCTTGAAGACGTGGTCGAGAAGGGGCTGAAGGCTTTGATAAATGAGAAGGACGAACAGAGTAAGCTGGCGCTCGGCATCATTCACGCTTTGTTCACTTCTATTGACGTCCTGCTTTCCGGTTTGCTGTACAGTCAAAATCCTCGTTCATCCGTGATTGAGGAGAAAGTGTATGTGACTGCAGGGCGCCTTTCAATATTGACTTAGAAAATCCATGAAATCAAACGTGATCTACTTGGGGGGTCCAGCGGCAGTCCGGTCCGGACCAGCGCCTATTTCAGAGACAGCCTCATCATGAAGTTTGTACATTATGATTATCGGTCGGAGTTGATCAGAGACTCTGCCCTGAGCGACCTGGGTTTGATTGAGCACTTGAATGACTTTGGGTGGCTAACAAAACTAAGTAAGGGACACCAACATTCAGGCAGATATTTAAATTCAATATCCTACCTGACGGTACCAGCTAGTTGTTCGTGTTCAGGTATGATCGTCTTGCCGTTCTCAGTAAGCGGTCTGATATCAAAAACAGCTAAAGACATGGCGCAAGAGAGGAAGACCGATGCGTCTGCTAGAATGCGACCTACATTCTGTCAATCACAGAGATAGCGATGCTAGAAATTGGGGATGACTCACCGGGACATATCCTGAATATCCGCAAGGAAAACAGTATGATTTATCAAAGGGGTACGCTGCACGGAAGACTCCGGCGTGCGTGCTTACCTTCTCCCAAAACCGAAACATATGTCGTATGGATTCGGTTCGGGGTGTGGACCCAAGAACCTCTCAGGCTTAAAGTTGAACGGATCCGGGTAGACTTTCGGGTCGTGCAGCATGTTCCTGTGATAAGTTTGGTGAATAATGCTGGCATCATAAGAGCGTCCAGGTTGGTCGAGATTGAAATTTAACAGACATTCGCCATTACCATAGCGCCTTTAGGAATAAAATAGCCATTATGGACGTCATCTTCCTTAACGCAGTGTGGCGCCCCTTCGTTTCCTCTTTTAGAAAGAAATGCATGCCTGCAGGAATTGGCTTACCGAGCGGAGCCACAGCGTGCCATCTCATGACTTCCATGATGAGGGCATTCGTATACGGGAGGTTATCGCGGTCAGAGGATTTAGGAAGTCTCTCGGGACCGACGACAGAATCTATCTCCTCCTGAGCTTTCCGCATCGCATTCGGATAGAGGACCATCGCCAGGAAAAACGCGCGGATTGAAGACACGGTCTACATATGGAGCTGTTGTTAGACTCGCGTAGTAATCATAACGGGGGAGGGTACGATATTTACCGTATCAGCGCCACCAGCATACATTGAGGTAGACAGCCACTTTATGTCATGCTCGCGATTTGGTGTCAAGTTTGGCTCACTGTCCAGAATGCGAGAAATCACCGAGAGTTCAGCTGCTCCAAGCATCTAAAGGCCAAAAAATTTAGACCCTATGGCTACAAGACGACTGGAGAATGAAGATGAGCTACCATTTGTTCTTTGACCCAGTCATATGGACGATTGACCATTTCATTCATAGTATTTGCCCATATCGCTCCAATCTTCTTGTACCCTCCTCCAGGAAGCCACTCGGGGATACAGCGTACTACAATATCGTCATTGTAATTAGCGAGCTGAATGTGGTCCACTCATTTGCATTGGGGGTCGAAGACGACTTACACACTGGAAGGATATTGACCAAAAAGCCTCCTGGTGAGGACCCAATGGAAAAGTCCTCTGTGGCTTCATGCGCGAGGGCAAGGAACGGGTCCTGATCTTCCTGAATCTCGTATCCATAGGTAATGTGAAGGACAATGGCACCAGCTGTCCTGTGATATGGAGGTTCATATTAGACAACAGGCGGTCTTGTCAGAATACTTACTTATGTATGAGACTTTCCAAAAGGTCCGGTTGAGCACGAACACGCTTCAAGAACTTGTGTGTTTCCCTTTCCAATAAAGGAAAAAACTCGGCCACGGAGGAGGTGCTCCCTAACGCTTGGCGGAATAGTTTGCGCTGTGCCCGAAAATGTTCTCCAGACTGGAGTAACACGAGTGCGTTCTTCCACCCAACGATCTCGCCCATCAGCTCTAGCACTGGCCGCTCGGAATACTTCGCACTCTTCTTATCAAGTATCTCGACGGCGGCTTTCGCAGAATTAAGGATGATTATCTGTCGTCCAAGGACGGAGGCAGAGACTATGTCGCCTATACGAACGTCAAGTATGTCAAGTAAAAAATTGTAGCGGCAACAAATGCTGGCGCACCCCACTTTGAACCCCATTCAGCGAAGGTGAGCCATTCGCGCTCCCGAGGCATATTAAGAAGATTCCCAATCAGGAGGAGCTTGCGCGGTCCTGGCGGTAACGGTGCAGTTCTCTTGCTAATCATTTTGTTTAGCAGCACAAACCCGAGGGCGAGGAGCGCAGCATCCAACAGTGCTAGGAGGGGAGGCATGGGAAGGCAGGATTTCAGTGGCCCACGACAACCCCGAGCCAAATTCACGCTTATATACTAGCACTCAAGTCAGTACGTACAACATATCCAACGTGGGAAGCACCGGCTTACTATTACCCGCGCTCTTCCCCACGGACGGCATACTCTATTTCTTCTGAACCCGCTGAACGGACAGCGAGAGGCTGGTGTCCTTTTCGCGTTTCCGGATGGTTTCCTCGATCATTTCGGAAACTCCTCACCTCCGGTGTTCGAGGATCTCTCGCATGGCTTCGTCAATTTGTGCGTTGACGTCGTTAATGACGAATTACTTGACGGGACTGGGTAGAAGCGGATTTCATCTTCTAGTGAGGGCATCGATGAGGTACTAGTGGGTGGATGCTATGGTGTCTGGGCGTACAGCCCACGCTGTTGAGCAGACAGCCGAGTTCGCAAGAGAATGGATGGTATCGGATTTTTTACAACGGACCCAAGGATTTCTGATGCATAAATAGAGGGCTTCCGGAAGGTTGGAAGGACTCGACAAAAAGCAACGTCATTTTCCGAGTTTTAAAAATATTCTCAAATCTCTGATCCGATCAAGACTTGTGCTTTGGGCGACCTGGGAGTGATTGAACATGAAAATGGCTTTAGTTGACGGATTGTGTCAAATTTCCGTGGATTGGAATCAACAAACGGAAAATATCATCGCGCTACCTGATAGACCCGGTCATTTGTTTGTGGATGGGTGCAATTCCCTCTCCATTCTCCGCGGCCTTCGTGATATCGAAAACAGCTAGCGACATGGCGCAAGAAAGGAAGACTGAGGTGTCCGCCAGAACGAGGCCTGAAGAAGTCACGATGCATCCTCTGAGTCCCGACATAATGTTAAGTATCGAGCCTCACGGACCTGGGCATCTCCTGGAATAGAGTAACCGTACCGGGTTGAACCAGGACCAGAGTATATCAGAGAAAGGCTGAGTAAAAAAGAGGTCGAAAATAATGCCACCACTCACCTCCCGAAACCAAAGCAGACATCATAAGGGTCCGGTTCCGGGTTCGGACCCAAGAACCTCTCGGGTTTTTTGGCGCAATCCGGACCGGCTGGAGCTCTTATATTGGGGCTGTCGGAAAGAGCAGCATTTCTGGGCGGCACCCACCAGTTGGAGCTGCGGGATGCCGTCGGGCGATTTCCATGACGAGCGCGTTCGTATATGGCAGATTTTCGCGGTCCGAGAATGTCGGGAGCCGATCCTGACCAATGACGGCGTCTGCCTCCTTTTGAGCCTTCCTTATCGCGTCTGGATAGAAGAGAAACAAGACAATGATGGACGGCATGGTCTAAACGAACAGCAATATTATCCAAAAGACAATGATGTCGGAAGGAAGGAAGAATTTATAGGATCGGCCCCACCACCGGACATCGATGCAGCCGACCAGTTTATGTCGTATTGACGTTCGGCTGTTAGTTCTGCTGTCTCATCCAGAAGGCGAGAGGTTACTAAAGGCCCGGGGGTTCCTTGTTTCTAAAGGTAGGGATAATATGAGCTATGTCGGGAGAAGTAATAGGTAACCAAAGAAACGAGTCACCCTCTGCTCCTTGGCCCATTCGTACGGCCTGTTGACCAATTCGTCCAGAGTTGTTGACCATTTAGCACCGATCTTCTTGTGACCACCACCAGGGAACCACGCTGGCACATAGCGAACTAAACAATTTAAGCGCCTATTTTCTTATCGAGCCACCATAACACTCATGTGCAGGAATTATATTGACCATGAGCACCGTCGGGGCAGTTGACAAGGCCAGAGCATTGGTGACGTCCTCGGCGAGGGCTAGTAACGGATCGCGCCTCATATCCGTAATGCGAAATTTGAATTGTACTAATATGACTGAGGCTTTCAGGTGAGAAAAGTGGGAGTACATACACATAGATCGCCAAGTTCGCCCCTGAGTTCACCAAGACTTGATAAAGAAACTAGCAGAAGTCATCGAGGAATCTTGCGAAATAGCGCACACTTTGAACTACCACCGGATTGTGTAGGTGTTCTCCGATTGGGAATCGTCTTCGAACTGACGCATCGTCCGGGAAGGACCGCTGGCGTCGGTGACGAACAGAAAGGACGCAGGTAAGTGTCTCATGCTCCTGTACATATTCGCAATAAGCAGATGGGACCACGGTGGAGAGATCGTGCCTGTTGGCGAACCTTGCTCGATTGCTAACCACAAAGCTGCCTTGTGGAATACCAGAGAGACCTGCGACTTTTCTTTATGTCCATCCGGGATCGAAACTGCAAATGGGCAGTTGGACGACGAAAGAAAACACAGATGCTACATCAGCAAGTGTCGGTCGACGGTCTCAAGCCTCTCTGAAGCGAGTGTCCAGCAGAACGGGAGGAAGGGTATATAAAAGTACACCGGAGAAACACTTGCTGATGCCTTTCAGCGCTGGCCTGACGAGCACAGCCGGAGAGGAGAGAGACTGTGCTTCGCGCTTGCAGTTGAACGTAACGTTTGAACCATTGGGCGTGTCGATAGCGACTCCTTCGTACACCTTCTCGTCTGAGACGACACGATCATCCCGAGTAAGAGGCCTACCGGACGTCGGTACCAGTTCCCTGGTCAACCACGCGTCCGTAACACAATTCTCGCCAGCAGCGTCAGATGAGCACCAGAAGGGTCTTCCTCTTCAACGACACGCCGTATTGAGCACATTGACGCTGCAGACCACCGCGATGCCACCCAAAACTCTTCATCCTGTTTCGCCCGAGCCCTAGCTGCCGTCCAGCCAACCATTTCCAGGTAAATAGAACAGAACAACGCCGGTGTTAGAAGCCCATTCTTGCCACAGCCAGGTGAGTATGACGTCCTGAGGGCATGAAATAACGAATTCCTCGAAATGTTTGAACTTCGGACTTGGGACAGAAGCCTAAGGTGGAGGTTGTGAAGAAAAACGAACTTCGGCCGAGCTTCCGAAGCTACAGAACAGGAAAGTTAGCCCCTATTTGGACTTGTTGCCTCGGAGTTCGTCTTGCTCTCCCCCCTGCTACGCGCTCCGACTTAGGTTGGGCTGGTGCTATTTCAATATTTCGACGCTCGTCATAGGGTCAAGAAGTGGATTTAGTCTCTAAGTCCACTTCGAAGTGTTCTCGTGAGGCACTAAATTGACCCCATGACGCAGGAGCCTTCAATAGAGTATGATATCAGAAACGTAAGTCCAAGGCTGTCAAGCCACCTTCGCGGCGAGCCTTCACCTCGACACTCGAGTCAATTCGCTACCCCAAGAATGGCCAAGATCCGGGTACTGAGTACTGAGTACTGAACTGCCTAGGCGATACGTTGGGGAGTTGGCTCTGAGGATGGCTCCGCAGCACTTGGAGCGAGGACACATACACGCAACGGAAAGTTAGACCAACAAATGCACTTGATTGGGGGCTACAAATACAACTGGTATGCTTCGAAGCAACATGGTTTACTACACTGTCTGATGATGATTTGGTTGGCGAATTATTGCAATGTGTTTAATAAATTAGAGACCGGCAGAGGTCTGACGATGGTCGTGAGCACGGGGACAATGACGACGACAACAAAAGGAAGAACATACGGAGCGGGTAATCTTGTCGTCACGGAGAGGGGGAGAGGTGGACACAGCCGCGGAAGTGCGCGCGATGGCCGTCAAGTCGATCTCTGTGTCGTACAGTCACCATATATGCGGGAGCATTGGCCCAGAAACGCAACGTACCACCAGTCTTCTTGAAAGCATTCTTCCTGAACTGACGCGCCTTCTCGAGCTCGTCATCCGAGAGGCTGCTGGTGCTGCGAGTGATCTCGGGCTTGCCCCCTTCCGCTATGTCATTCGATGAGACACTGCAGCACCGATCACGTCGTGAGACACTCACAGGAGGTAGGGCTGGACGAAATGTTCTCGGTGGCGGCCTCGACGACTTCCTCCTCGTCGTGTATCTCGTCCTCGAAGGCAGCGCTCTCGAGCTCGCGCTCGTTGGCAATGCTGCCCCAGTTGTGCTGGCCGGCGCCGGACTTGCGCAGGCTGGTGTCTAGGCCGGAACGAGAATCATGACGGTCGTGGATCACAGCACGAGGATACGCTGCGCGAGCCGTGCGGGTCATTATGAGCGGTGAGGATAATAAGGGAAAAGTTTGGAGCTGTGGTGCTTTATTGTAGGAGTTGTGGTTGTGGGTTGTATTGAGGATGAGTTGGGAGGAAAGGGGGGTTTATATAGTCCTCTTACGACATCAAGGTGGTGCGAGCACCACAAGCGTGTCACGCGACTCGCAAAGAGCCTATTCGCGTTTCTAGAGCCTTCCATCGCTCGCCAACGACCTACAATCACCTCCCTTGTCTTTTCTTCTATTCCTTTTTGTTACAATCGTCTCTACGTACCCACGCCATCTCAAACTCACTTTCGCGACCTCTTTGTACCCCTCCCGGCGCTCCAAAGGAGGTTTTGGGAGGCGTCGGAAAACGCCGAAATGCGGGGTAAAAGTGTGGGGAAGCTGCACGTGACGCCAGACCGCAGATCGCGATCGCAGCCAGGCCCGTCCAAGACTCCTTTTGGAACGTACTCGATCGTTCCTCCGAGTTCCCGCCGGCGTTACCCGACGGCCCAGTTCCACCGCGCGACAACGCTCGACGCGTCTTCGTGCCAGACTCAGCGACGCGCCCGTTGATACATGACTCACCGTCGGCCCAGCCGTAGGCTTCGTCGCGCTTATGTCGGTAAAATGGATGGCGACGAGGATCGTTCGATAGGAATGAAAATAGTGGGCATTGAAAGTTCAAAGAATGCCGCGATGAATGAGCAACGTGCGCCACAGAAATACGCGAGCGCGGTCAGACTACAGCTGACAGTGGATACTAAAGCTCCGTTTGGTTATGTTAATGAACTAGGTATATTTACCGCTATCCCGAGGCAGTGTTACGGGGGTTTCGATCTGCAAAATGCTCTTCTAAGGTCATTCTAGCCCTCTAATCTAATGGCGGAAGTATGAATAGACACGACCCACTACCACCATTGCGTTTAACCTTCTTGCTATCAACATGCCAGCGGCCGCGAGGCATACCTCCTGTAGGCATTCTCAAGGCCGCTGCTGAACGGAAAAAGACGGTGTTCCTACCTTCTCTACCTTCTCTTCTATCTCGTTGACTCAGGAACTACGTACTTCCTAAACCGATGATCCCTATAACCTTATTTCCAGTCACACAGCTGCGTGCATGCGTTTAAGACTTGAGGTGGGATTCTCTGGCCCTCCGAGTCCGTTGTCACGCGCAGACCGTGAATGGGCCCAGAAATACCCCTTAACCTTAACTGTAAGCACAAATCCCATTTGCCTCTTCCCCCGGATTAAGCGCCCATACTTCAGTCGAAGGTCGGAGGTGCAAGGATAGGGGCATATTTTCTTATTCTACCAACGGTTAGATGACGTCATCAACATTTATCAGTGTTGCGGTCATCGCCGCGCTTCCTTCGACCTCGACTTCGACGATCTCAGGCCCACGCAGCCCGTATACGCGGGCCCAAGTTCTTCAACAAAGAGCTCAGAACACATTGATCTGCCAGAATGCCTTCAGCGCTGATCCTGATCGCTGATGGGACAGAGGAGATGGAATTGTGCGTCTTTCGAAACACGCTCGTTTGTGAACAGTTGTTGAAGCTGAAATTGTGGGAATGCAGCACCATCACATACGACACCCTGGTACGAGGTGGCGTCAGCGTAACATCCGCTTTTGTTCCGGATGTCGCCAGTGGGACGGCCGCGGTGAGTCCACCAGCGGCGAAGTGCTCTCGCGGGGTCAGGATTCTGCCTGATAGCTACCTTGATTTGGCGCATTGTGGGCCGGTGAGTTCTTGTTCATGCTCTCAGTTCTGTTTTTGATTATAATCGTGTAAATTTGCAGGACAAGTTTGACCTCCTCGTCATTCCCGGCGGTGCGAAAGGAGCTGAGACTATGTCGAACCACCCCTCGGTGCAGGAGCTCGTGAAGAAGTACATCGAAAGTAACAAGCTTGTCGGTATGATCTGTGCGGGTGAGTTTCGTCTTTCCTTTGTCCCTCGTCTGGCGTGTTTCTGAGTATCGATTGGTGGTCCAGGCAGCCTCGCAGCGAAGACGTCGAAACTGCCAAAGCAGCCTTTGACTTCACATCCAAGCGTCAAAGATCAGCTCGATAAAGGTTCGCTACCTCGCTCTCCGCCTGGTTATCCAAATTACAAAGCGCTATGCATGTACAGATTTTGAATACGTCGAAGAGCCCGCCGTTGTCTCCAAAAACCTCGTGACAAGGTGCGTCTTTTCTTCTTCATCCCGTCGACACTTCCCACCGCTGACACTCCGCCTCCACCTTGTTTCAAACGGGTAGCCGTGGACCAGGTAAGTCTCCCCATCTCTCCCATACTCGCAGTCCAATGGTAAACGCGATGTGGCAGGAACGGCGTTCCCGTTCGCGCTGACCCTCGTCCAGCTGCTCTGCGGCGAAGAGAGGCGTGCGGAGATCAGGGCTCCGATGGTGTTCCCTGCGAATACCCCGTTCTGACATGATGCGATACGCGGGGGGATTTTTCTAAATAACATTGGAGAAAGAGCAGGAGTAGAGGGCAGGCGGATAGAGGGTGCAGGGAAGTGCAGGCGAAAACCTCTTCGGACAGGCCTTGTCGGGATACACCTCCAAGTCAATCATACGATTCTTGGATCAAAATGGAGATCATGAATTCTTATGTCAAGTTTCATATACTATCGACGATGATGTGACAAACCAATGGCTACGCCAAAGTCTACATCGGCAATTCCTGGTTGGGTTATGAGTGTGTCGGAAAAACGCGATTTCCATTATAAGGCCTTGCGGCTCCTGGCACCCCTGGCCCCGCTGATACACTGGCGTGACGCTACCAATAATCAATTGTAAGGGCCTGCAAGTCGAGCGTCAGTGAGTATCAGAAATCCGTCACCTCTGGTAAGTCCTAGTCACACCCGATCACTTCACCTCCCAAAACCCGAGTTTCCGAAGAAGCCATTTGAAAGAGGTTGCACCCCACCCTCTCAGAATGTCAAAATTATCTTCAAATTGCATCTGTTTCATCTACAGTGAGTGTCCGTTTATTGTCCTCGTGAACGGACTTGAAATTTTCCGTCTAAGTCCCAGGTCACGGGAGCTTTCCCTAAGGCCGACGGAAGCAACCTCCGCGACCATGGCTGACCATGGATGACGGACGAGGACGAGGGGAAATCCTGTCATGCCTGCTTACACACCTCGGAGTCGAATTTGGATCCAGAATTATCGCCTCGAAGCGCCCACATCCCTCCGGCAGTTGGTTAGGCTTGTGAATTCCGAGTCGGAGATAAGTCTCGGGGCGATATCTAGGCGCCGAGGTCCAGGCGTTGAAGCTTGAAGGGTTATAAAAATGGGCTTTCGTCGTCTCATTCCAGCGCAGTTCCTTCCCGCTTACTTCGAGTTCGAGATTGGATGGACGTCGGTGCTACCCGGCTTCTGTCCCATGGTGCGTTCCCCCTCCGTTCACATATCACCTTTTAACTTCGACTTCACTTAACAGGGCATCTTATACTCGGTGCGTGCCTCGTACGTCTCTGTAGTTTAACACTGACTCACTACAAATAGGCTTTCTTCTTTTCTCTGAGGTGAGAAGCAGGTAGCAGGGGGGCCGGGCACTGACTCTGCTAACGTGTGTCTGTCTTCACATGCATTAGAAAGTTGCGACTGACTTTGACGGACAGGATGGTAGTTGGCTCACAAACGGTAAGGTTCTATTTAGTGCCACAATGAATTTAAGCTAACCTCGTTCAAGACCGCTGTACCTCGATTGGCTGTTTCCTCGAGCAGCGCGAAACGTCGGCTTCTTTGTTTGTTGACGACGACGGAAATGTAAATTCCAAGGGGGCATGTAGTTCTCCTAGAGTAGAAAATGAAAATTATTTCTTATTCCCTTCTTTTGGATAAGGACAATAATCAGTACACCCGAATATGGGTTTTTGTGGCCAGTATTCGTAGGGTTTTCTAATGACACCTATTCGCCCTCATAACCCTGGAGAAGGCCTGAACAGCTGTACAGACGAGATCAGGCCAAATACGGTGTGTTAGGACCATAAGTTCTATAATACTTGTACACATTACAAAATTGGATGGGTGACTTTTCACCATCGATATGAACCCCGATTTTCTGACGCCCTAACAGGTCCTTATATGCCCATATATGGCTATATAGGCAAAATTTGATTTTTCCGACATGCTATATGAGGGCATGTAGCACTCCGTAGTTGGGGACCATCTCGGTAGATAAGAAGATGCATTACAACGCTATGGCGCGTTACGCAGCGCTACGTAACGCGCCATAACGCGGTGTAACGCTGAAATCGAGGTCATTTTGACCCTCAAAATCAGGATTTGCTGATGTATAGTCCCCCTCCAGAAGGGATGACTATCCTCGAAGGTTGCACAATCGTGAAATGTCAAGTGTGAGCCTGAGTGCGCTTGTAATGAATATCTGCCACACTACTTGAATCCATTTAAGTATTTACCACCAGACATCCGCACAATTCTTGGGGCCCGAGGGAAGAGGCAAGTGCTGCAGGCGAGACACGTATATAGGGGCATTTGAGTCATGTGCAGATCACGTTTTATGCCCAATCCTTTCGGGCCGAATCTGATCCTGGCTGATCTCACCAGCTTACTTAAATGCTGCGGGTCAATTTTTCCTTTCTCCCCGCCTCTTCACTTGACGTCCACGAGTGCATTCGTGAATTGGAAACTACGGCGATCACTACGGCGGCATCTTCCGGCAGTGACAGGCAAGTTCGTCCCACCTCTGTATTCTGCGCCTTCCTCCATTGTATATACCCTATTCAACACGGAAACATGCAAAGCAGACATCAAGATTCTCGCCTGATAAAAGTGCCATCGCGCGTTGCCGCTCAAGCCGCTCGCAAAGGCAGGCACTTGGCCCCCTATTGGATTCGCGTAGGTGTCCTGCTCGAATACACGGGGCCTTACTCGACCTACAAAATATAAACGAATGCGAAGAACTGAAAAAATAGCGCAGGATCAACAGAAAAACTCGTATAATCAAGATCAAGATCGAACACATCGACAGCGGAGGTGGGCAATGACACGCACTTTCACCGCGCCTCCTCAGTGCCCTCGACCACCAAGACACCCCTACCACACCCAGCGGCGGCGATGATGGACAAGAAGCTCACGACGAGGGCCAACACACGTTCTATTCCCGAGACGCCGGACCTAATCACACCCAACACATCGTGAGTGCCTCACCTCATCACCGACGATTAACACGAACTTACTGTGTTCTTAGGTGCTCGATAGGGCATTTCGACGACAGCGAGGCTAGCTAGAGCATCGATGGTACTGGAGGACGTTGGCCCGAGATCGCTGTGGAAGATGATGGGCCAACACGAAGATGGGCGGAGAACGTCCGTATAAAGGTGAGTTTCTCGTTGTTATGCACATTCGGGATGGTCTTACCTTGTTTCTAGGACGCGTACAATGTGTTGGACCATGAGAGCGGTGGTGTAGAGTGCATAGACGTCTGAGAGAGAAGGGAATGGCTGGGATGAGGTGAGTACATGGTCACCGAAGGCATAAACGAAGATTTACCTTCTGGTCCCTCCCACCCACCCCAAACGCCTAATATTGAGTCTCCACGTACCAGGACTCGTACAATACAGCCCCGGCATGCACAGCGCGACCAGAATAGGGTCTGTCAGCGGCGTTCTCGTGTATAGGTGGAAGACTCACCTTCGGCATTAGACCTCGCCTCAGGGGTCTCCTTTCTATCTCCGCAGACAACGACGTTGTGGGCGTATGAGTAGCACAACTATATGGTCAGTTTACCTAGTGTTTCACTCAGAGGAGGGAGAAAAGATATTGCGCTGGTTCAATCGAAGGGAATCATGCTGCCAAGCTGAGACAAACGGCGATGAGACGAGTGGATTTTCCGGTGCTTTGTCGGAACTATACTCTCCTCGATTGGTTGTACAGTCATCCACCGGCCAATGAGACACCACCGGCTAATGATACACCTCGGAACACCATGAAGGATTCAACTGTTTGCTTTGAAAAAATAACCCCATTCTCTATAAGTCTTTAATACATTGTGTATAAAATTTTGTGGGTTCTGGTGAAGTCAATGCCCGGTAATAAAATCACCAAAATATTCATTTTGGTTGATTTTGTCACACCAGTCACTGGTACAGCATCTCTGGCTGTTTCTGCTCACGTTTGGTTGATTTTATGGCATACAACTGGTATAAATTTATTTTAATGGCTCTATTACACTGATTCCAAGTGGTTTTATGAGAATCCATGGGCTGGTTGAGTTCTGGGATCAAATTTAAATTTCAGTGTATCAAATGATGGTGGATGACTGTAGCTGCAAGATGTCCTTATTATTTCTGGGGTGGTATGGGCGTCTTAGGACTGCGCTACGGGAGTCTGGCTCATCGACGTGAGCCTCCAACGGGTCACGTTACCGTTCGCCGGGAGTTGCCGCCGTAGTGATCGCCGTAGTCCGGCGCCGTAGTTTCCAATTCAGAGATTTTCTGACGTCCACAATGTCAGATTTCGGGCCCAAACACCTCTTCGAATGCACATGCCTGGACGCCGTCGCGGATTGCTGAAGCCTGGGGTGGTTGTCGTCTAACGGTCAACCTCTTCGAGTTTCAAAACGACGACACAGCTCGCGGCTTTTTGTACCTGTGCTCTCCGACTCTCTCCGGGATTCTTTGACAATATACGTTGTTGCATACAAGACCCTTTTCAGACCCTTTTGAACTCGACTCGCTACCACTGCAAGTGTCGTGTTCCAGCAGACCTATCGCCGTTCAGCAGCCTGTTCTAAACCGGGATCGAAGCTAATGGCCTGAGAGAATTAATGTCGCAAACATAACTCCTCAGCTCAGCTGTCATCTTATGCGCTTCTTATCAAGGACGGCATTGTTATCTCACCAATGTTGACCGGGATCTCTGAAGCATTGCTGAACGCGGCCGCCCTGGCGTCGGCGTTCGTGCTGGTCTATACATTATTGAATAAATTCAGCAAGACTGCGCCGTTGCCCCCAGGTCCCCGCAAGCTTCCTCTTATCGGCAATCTCTTGGACATTCCTCGAGAGCGCGAGTGGGTCACCTTCACTGAATGGGCCGCAAAGTGGGGTACGCGATCGTTCGTCTCCCAACGATCTGCCTCCAACTAACCTCCTCGACACTCGTTCAGGCGACATCGTTTCGGTTTCCGTCCTTGGCGAACACATGATCATCCTAAATACCGCGCAGGCGGCGTTCGAGATGCTCGACAAGAAAAGCGCCAAATTTTCGGACAGACCAGTGCTCGAGTTGGCCGGCGAGATCGTTGGTTGGAAGAATACGGTCATCCTTCTTCCGTACGGAGAAGAATTCCGGGCTCAGCGTAAGGCCTTCCACCAGGCCATCGGAAGCAAGAACTCTATGTCCCATTACTATCCGATCGTGGAAAAGGAGACGCACAAGTTCTTGAAGCGCGTCCTCGCCGAGCCAGTTCTCTTGGACCGCCATGTGCGCAGGTAATTGTCGCCCTTCCCTCGTTTATCAGGACGAGTTCCTCATCGCTGACGTTTTCTCAAGGATGTCTGCAGCCATTCTTATACGTATCACTTACGGATATGAACTCCAAGAGGGACAGGACCCCTTACTAACGCTCGCCGAGGACGCTACTGCTGCTTTAGCCCTGTCAACTGCCCCGACGGTGTTCATGGTCAATGTCATCCCTGCACGTTGGTCTTACTGTTAGCTCGATACGGGAATACGTGCTGAGATTGTTCAGTTCGATATGTGCCAGCGTGGCTCCCTGGCGGTGGTTACAAGAACATTGGGGCGAAATGGGCGAAAATTTTTGACGAATTGGTGAATCGTCCATACGAATGGGTCAAGAAGCAAATGGTACCTCACCTCTTTAGCTACGTCCCCCGTCATAGCTCATAACATCACTCTAGAAACTCGGAACGGCCAACCCTTCAGTCACCTCTCGTCTTCTGGATGAGACGGCAGAGTTAACACCGGAACGTGAGCGTCACATAAAGTGGTCGGCCGCATCTTTGTACGGTGGCGGGGCTGATACAGTAAGTCACCACTTTCCTCCGAGATCATTAGAATTCTGGGTAATAACGTCATTTAGACGATGCCGTCGATCATCACCTTGTTCCTCGCGATGGCCCTCTACCCGGACGTGATGAGGAAGGCTCAAGAGGAGATAGACGCCGTCATTGGTCAAGATCGGCTTCCATCATTCTCGGACCGCGAAAATCTACCGTATACGAATGCACTCGTGCTGGAAATTGCCCGATGGCACACAGTTGCTCCAACTGGTGAGCAGCACCTCGCACCTTTCCCATTTCCGGCACACTCTGAATGGCCCTTCCAGCCGTGCACCACAGTTCTATGGAGGACGACATCTACAATGGCTATTTGATCCCCAAGGGGGCCATGATCATTCCCAATATTTGGTGAACTCCCATGGATATTTGAAAATTCTGGCTTCCTCTTTATTCATGAATGACTTGTCAGGTATATGTTACACGATCCCAAAGTGTACCCTGACCCCTTCGAGTTCAAACCAGAGAGGTTCTTAGGTCCGAACCCCGAACCTGACCCATACGACGTTTGTTTTGGATTTGGGAGGAGGCGAGTGTTGCAATATTCTTTACGCCATATTTTCCTATCCGGTTGACTCTTTCGTCGACAACCTATTCTAGGATATGCCCAGGTGCGTGAGCACTGATATATACTGCCGTTTTATGGCTCACCTGGACGTATCTCGACTCATTCAGGTCGCGTCTTAGCAGACGCCTCAGTATTCCTTTCTTGCGCCATGTCTTTGGCTGTCTTCAATATCACGAAGCTCTCTGAAAACGGCGAGACCATCACACCTATCCACGAACAATTGACTGGGTCTATAAGGTGAGCAATCGAAACCCTTGTAGTATATTTGCTCGAACTCACTGGATAATTTACTAGTCAACTCAAGCCTTTTAAATGCGCAATCACACCCAGGTCGTCCCAAGCGCAAGTCCTGATTGACTCCGAGATTTAATGAGCTGTGAGGGAAGGTTGTTCTCAAAACCCAGAAAGTGGTGCTATTTCTCCTTCAGCCCGTCCAGCCCCCTGGAGAAACGTATTCATATGAGCAAAAGCCTTTTGGATCCGTTGTATCTCCAAAAATCCGCTGCGAATCCTGGAAGCAGAATCCCTGAGAAACACGGTCGCGGGTCCCGGTAACGCTCGCAGAAATCTATAGTACTCCACTACGTGGGATGTACTTCGTTCGGAGACCTTTGTACCATATCATTCACTTGTGCTCAACTTTCGAAAAATGTCTCATGGAATCCGCAAGCGGGGAGGGTGAAGGTGAGGAAATAGGCGCTTGCATCCAAATAAGCGCCGGCCCTCCCATCTTCGAACTCCGAATCGGCGTCGACCTTTCTTGGACACTCTTACTGACCTAAGCATTCAAAGCTGAATGGTTCACAGAAATTCCGCCCAGGCTCTAAAGAAAGAACTCGAGCCGCATCAGGCAACTTCCAAGTCTGGAACACGGGTTTCTCATGGGCACAGATAGTACTTCCGGAATACTATGACCTCTTATCGATATCTCTTGACACTCTGTCGTCGTTGCTTGAAGTCCAGCCACAGACACTATTGGTTAATATGCAGTCAACACCTCCCAACAGGCATCCCCTCTTCGTAGGCAAGTCCATTGGCTTCGGGAGGCCTGGAGTCGGTGCTGAATTGGGCTTCACTAGAACCGCCGGCCGTCATTCGCGAGAATAGTTCAAGTTATCCCCCTCGGCAACCTGTACCGCACTATTGGGCTTCCTCAAGCTCCTCGATCTCTCACCCTGAGAGGCCTGATACTCCGAGTGCTCTAGCATCTTCGACAGGCGCCACTTTCCATACTTCAAACACGAGTTGGGGTACACCAAGCGAAGACACACAAGCACAGAATTCGGAAGAGGCGCCATGGTCTCCTTGGGTACTTCTGGTGCGAGGCTAATGCCTATGCTCTCGACAGTTATGGTGATTCGGTTTCATATCATGTTGTAACCAGCCTGAAGTGACGGTCCGTGAACCGCCTGACCGTCGTGAACCCCTTTCCCGAGAACCGCCTCGCCCTACACTTGAAGCTGAACGCAGAAATCGATCACGACCACGACGCGACCGACACAGGGAAGAAACGAGGGTGCGTAATCGCCCCATGTCTTCCAGACCACTCACATGAGTCGATAGGCACAACGGCCTGAGTCTGCTCGCTCAGACACCATAAGGCCGAGCAGCGCCTCCTCGATGCCATCAGCGGAGGACGAAATTCGCTATTATCCAGTGCCATCTGGTCCCGTAAGTACTTTTTGTCGCAACTTGCATTATATTTCTAACAAAAAGCTAGCCTTTTATTCAATTTCCAGCATCTTTCGATTCCTTGCTGGATGTCATATCGGTGAGCGCCTAATTCCCTCTTTGGTGTTGGGATAGGAAAGAGGGCCGATCTCGGCTGGCTGTGACAGGAAACACGCGTTGCTCTGCTGGCAACAATCGATCAGCAGAAAGAGATGATCGAGTATATGAGGGAGTTCAACGCTTGGTTAGAGCGTGACGTCCACATCCGAAAATCCACCATCAACGACGTCAATGTGAGAATTGAAGAAGTTACGCAAGAGGTTCTCGAATATCGGAGGCGAGGTAAGTGCCAAGCAGCTCTTCCATTCACTTCAAAGTTAAAGATTGACCAAGATCACGCCCCACGTCGATGACGTTGTGCACCATATGTCTTCGCCCCAGGCGCGTCGTCTTGACAAGACGATATTGAGTCGAATGGGTAACGGTGTGCTGGTTACTGATACAGAACGGTAGAGGCGCCAAAACCCGTGCTGTTGTTAGAGCCCTGACCAGCAATGTTAAACGTTCAAGCCGCTGTGTAAATCCGGGTAGACTAAAATGTATCGAAGGAAACTTGTCTGACTGATAGGAAGGCTGCATGGATAAACCAAATCACCTATTCCTTCTCATCATTCAGGAACTCGACCAGGATGACGGAAGACAGAATGGTATGACACTCAGATAAAAATATACTATAACCCGTGACAGAGAGCACGGAGAGTAGGTATTTCTCAGGTTGAGGACTTAGTACGTACTGACATATATAAGAGTGGCTTGGGTTCTCTAGATCTGGCTGCCAAATACTTGTCCCATGGCTTTCTTCCTAGCATTGCTGGATGCGGCGCTCCTCACCCTCGCTTTCGTGCTACTGAAAAATTAATTAACAAAAAAGCCGCACCGTTACCGCCCGGACCGCGCAAGCTCCCTCTTATTGGGAATCTCCTCGATATGCCTCGCGGATGTGAATGGCCCACCTTCGCTGAACGGGGTACAAAGTGGGGTACGATTCCATCCATTTCTCTGTTGAAATTCCACGATTGACGTGATTGGCGTCCGTTGAACCCAGGTGACATTACCTCCGTTTCAGTGCTTGGACGACAGATGATCATCCTGAATTCTACGAAAGCCGCTTTCAATATGCTCGATAAGAAGAGTGCAAAATATTCTGAAAGACCGGTCATGGAGCTACTAGGGGAGATCGTGGGGTGGAAGCACGCACTCCCCTTACTCCAACCCGGGGAGCGTTTTAGGGCTCAACAAAAATTATTTCACCAATCTTTAGGGACCATAGCTCCATGATCCAGTTTTATGATTTATCCCTCGCTGGTCTGGGAAACGCGCAAGTTCTTGAAGGATCTCCTTTCTCAGCCAGACCTTTTGAAAAGCCGTATACATAAGTTAGTATTCTTCTACACGACCACTATCAGTGTTCAATAATCTTCATTAATTGATACGTCTGATGAACGCTCCACAATGCAGAGTGCATGCGCAATCCATGCCTTTTTGCTGGCTATGGTCCTGTTTCCAGATGTCATGCGGAAGGCCCAGGAAGAGATAGATGCTATCGTTGGTGCCGAAAGGCAGCCAAATTTCTCGGATCGCGAAAACCTACCGTATATGAATGCGCTCATATTGGAAGTCATGAGATGGCATGCTATAACACCACTTGGTAACCAATTCCTGGCCTGTCCTTATTGTCATGAGCTCAAAAGAGGAAACGAAGGTGGGGCGCACTATGTTCAAGAAGATGATATCCATGACGGGTATTTTGTCCCCAAAGGCGCCATGGTGATTGGGAATATCTGGTGAAACCCCATCTCCAACTCGCCCTGAGTGCTCTTGTAAAGCTAGTTTCGCTCACAAAACATTTCGCAGGAACATGTTGCACGATCCGAAGGTCTATTCGGACCCCTTAAACTTCAAACCCGAAAGGTTCTTGAGTTCACGCCCTGAACCGAATCCGTATGAAGTGTGCTTCGGTTTTGGGAGAGGGTGAGTCCGAAGGCGCGCTCTCCTATCTATGCTCTACTAAGTTCAATCCTGGTACAGAATATGTCCAGGTGAGACGCCTACAAACTCTGGCCATTATACGCACCTCATTGTCTCCACGCCCACCCCTACAGGTCGACTTCTGGCAGATGCTTCGGTCTTCCTTTCTTGTGCTATGTCTTTGGCTGTTTTTGATATAAAGCCGCATACTGAGGACGGCGAGATTCTAATGCCTGAACATGAGCAATTGGCTGGGACTATCAGGTGTGATGTCAATGGCCCTCTGCAAATTTCCAGCCCTCACTGAGATTCTATTAGCCACCCAAAGTCGTTCAAGTGCTCGATCAAGCCAAGGTCGCTTCAGGCAAAGTCCCTAATCAGGTCCGATCTTTGAGGGATGTATAGAACTGGCTGGCTGGATCGATTATGGCATGCCATCTACGCTTTGCAGAAAGATGCTCACGAAAGATATGCTTTTCTGTTTGATTTAGTCCGCAAGCAAATAGCAAGAAATCCCATTAGCCTCTTCCGGGCCTTTCACGACGAAGGTCCGGAGTTGTATATCACGTCCACAGTTCATGCTGTACATGCAATTTGAACGCGATGCCAAGATTCTCTTATCTTTTGGCGAGGAATTGCGCCTCCGCATTGTCTAGTCTAGGCTAAGAAAGGCGCCCACAAATACCCTGCTGGCCGTGCTGCGCCGGCTAGGAACGGACCCGAGAATTTAATTCCGGAGATGAATGGACGAGACCTCATTATCGGCTCGCATGGGAATTGTGGGTCCCCCATTGTGCTGCCCACGAGGCGACCCTTAAATTTTGTACGCGCTGCTCTGTGTTATAATGAGTCGATGGGGGCGGAAGTAACCAGTGAAGGATGGAAGGGAAGCACGGGGACGGCGCTTGTTCTTGGGAAAGCCAGACCAGAGATGAACGGGCACTTTCCCCTTCCGCACCAACGACCGTAGAAGTGCGGATAGAGAGTCCCATAGAGAGTGGATCAACGGTTTTTGGTCGACAACGAAAATAACTGCACGGCAGGTGATGTGCCGGTGATACCTCCAAGGGATACCTTTTGCTCGTCTGACGCTCACGCGTAATGCGTGCCCCTGGCTCCATGCAGAAAGGATGCAGGATATAGCAGGTAGCTCCCAGAGTGAAGGCGAAGTTCCGCTCATCGATGAGACTGATATTATCGTCGTGGGCACAAGGATGCCAAACCAGAACCAAAGATAGGTATTACCCAAAGTGATTCAAAGAAGTAAGGCGATGCATCAGGCTCCGCTTCATTCAAAAGACATATGAAGGGCCCACCGAGATTAAGTTCAATAGAAGGAAGACCATGAGCGTAGCGAGGAAGGACCGACCCGGCGAAGTGTTCTGGCGGGCTGCCCAAATAAGGCAAGTAGTTTACACGTGTCACGACTTCCGACGCAGCGCCGCCGAATGCAGCCGACCTCCACATCCTTATTGTTGTGACTCACTGGCGCTGGAATGGACGCGTACTTAGCCGACGTACGCCGCTAGGTGGCAAGATGTGGAATGCTTTGCTTCGATGTAACGGATAACGTGAGGTGAGTCCAGCAGAAATACTGATTCGAACGGCAAACGAGTCAACCATAGTCATAACGCAGATTGAAGGGATTTTTATCGCCAACACGAGGCCTCCATGCAAAACTCAGGCTCGAGGCTCGCTTGGACTGGTGGGCATTCTGATATTCAACTTTGATCCTGTCAGAGATGAGTCGTCGGTTGAGGAAAATGTGGGTAAAATCATGGGGAGGGCCGTTGGCGAACAAAAGAAATCGTCGCGTAAGTCAGAATTCTTCGTGCGATGGCGGCGATGCTTCATAAGGGTTACTCACATACACTCCATTGCTCCATTTCAGCCTGACAGGTCCCCTGTACGCGCGCAGTAAAGTGACGACACCTGCAATCCTGTCTGAGTTTCTGTCGACCAAAACCGGGCAGATGGCGGGATCAACCGTCGAGGTCGGGGCTGGTATCATGCGGTCTTCTCCCACTGATTGACGCCCACCTAGAACAACGGCATGGAGCATGGGTGACTCGAATGCATTCAGCAAATACAAGGAGAGCGATGGTGGTGGTGAGAGAGGAAGCCGCGTTATCATTTCGCTTGCGCAATGCTATTGAAGGGTCCTGGTCATCCCTCCTCGTCAAATTGGACGTTCAAAGGAACACCCGTCTGCAGAACAAGGGCATTCCTCAATTTGGCCTCCTGCAAAAGGAGGTAAGCGATGATGTCGTTCACGGAATCTGTGCATTGTGTCCAGGTTAGGCAACACTGAACCGCCGGGACGTCTCGGTACTTTCAGCGAAAACCCCGGAGCGGACGTCCCTATCGTCTCGAAATCGCAGAGTGGGTTGGGTTTCTGAGCTTGTTAATCCCCATGCCATCTAGCTGATGCATTGTTTCCCTTCTGGCAGGACTCATACATGCAAACTTTCGGGTATATGCATAGTCCAAGAACAAAGCAAGTTGTGTTCGAGGAATACAAGGCTGGTGCCCAGTTGTGATGGAGACAAGCCAGCGAGCGTAACGGGAAATATGGATAAGATGAAAGGAGGCAGCTCTTCGATCAAATCATGAACAAGAACGTCCAAAAGCAAGGGCAGTCAGAAAGATTCACAGATTCAGGCGACACATGGTGACCCGAATCAGGCAGCGCGACAAACGAATGGCCGAAAAGGGGAAATGGGGAATCTCGATCCTCGCTCACGGACAACGAAAGTATATAACCATGTTCCACTTTCACAGCCTCTCTACACTCCTACAGCCCTTCTCTCCTCGCCAAAACTCGAAGACATGTTCCAAGTCGCGTCTCACCCTCACTCCTTCCCGATGCACGGCCGCGGCCATCATCAGTCGATGCCGATGCAGTCGCCGAGCGTTCAGCTCCCGCGCACCCTCACTCGCCCCGCACACATAGAGGTCTCGCGGGAGGCTATAATGGCAGTCGCCCCCGAACTCGCCAACGTACCAGCAGAGTACATCCGCAGAGGCCTCCGTGCCAAAGCACACCAGTACGTCAGGCAGTTCTCCATTCCGTGCCTCGCCATTGACGCGTCTGTGTCATCATCCAGAATGCTCGCAGGCATTTCTAGCCTATCCACATCCCACCTTCCGAGTTCCATTCCCAAATCGCACGTTCCACCCACACTCTCCATCCCGATCCGGGTCTCGCATTCGTCATCGCAGCCCACGTACCCCACGCACGTCCTCGCCGTCGCGTCGTCAAAGTCGTCCGGAAACGAGCACGTCTTCATGTTCCCCGTGCACAGTATCGTCATCGCCTCGCAATGCTCTGCCATTCCCCGCCTCCCACCATCCGCCGGGCCCATATCAGGAACGCTCCATGTTCCCGTGCTCCCCATCGCCCTCCCATCACCCGCCGCGTTCAAGATACTCCACGCCTACATGTACAACCACAGTCTCGACGGCGTCCTCAAATCCCTATTCCCACTTCCCTCTGGCTTCGTTCAGGGGCTCTCGCACCACACGGTGCAATCGACGCTCGCATCAGGCTCCTCGCTCCACCAGCTCTCGTCATACCTGTGCTCCTCCGCTGGCTCGAGCCTGCAGGCGCTCACGACGCACGCGGCTCACGTCAAGGAGCTTTGGCAAGACATGGTCGCCCTCGGCCTCCACGATCAAGAGCTGTGGGACACGGTTGATCTCGCCTGGGAGATCATCCTCGGCGCCCTCAACCTCGCCGCTGCTGGCCACTAGAGAGGGTTCCAGTCCCTCTCTTGTGGGTCTGCTTTGCAGGCCCTTCACGCCCTATACCAACTCTCCGAAAAGCCTACATCGACTAATCATCGATCCAGTCGCGCATTTGGTCGCGACTGCTCGAGAACTGTATCCATATCCGGGACTTCGTTAGATATACCCTCATCCACCCTTCGGGCTCATCGACTGCACTGTATCGAATTCTCACTTACCCCACCACCTATTGTAGAACAATCTTGTCCCACTAAATTGATCCCCCACACAACATGTAGCACTACTTGGCTTTGATTCGTTCTTGACACGATAAAGACAATATAAATCACTTCTTACATATTCTGAACTTTTGAATGAATACTCTGAGGTCTATTTCGAGAGCGGAAGCATTCCGAGAATCTTTAATTTCCGGCGCGGAGGCATTGCGGAGGCAAATTCCGCATCGCCACAAATATGATACACATCGTCTGTCTGAGTCTGCGTCAGAAATCGACAATAGTTCTGTCTCGCGGGAAGTTATGGAGAGAATGCGCGCCTTTCTCTCTCATTTCCTTGATTTCCTGTGATAGGTTTGGTGACGCTGTCTAGACTTCGAAACCAAGTATTCGTAGCTATCACAGGAAGTTCTGAATACCGTCGTTCCTTACCCATCCCGAGCTGCCGTCAAGAGAAGTTTCTCTGCTTGTATTCTTCTCTTTGTCCCTCTGACGGGCTGATTCGCCGAGATATCTGTGCATAGCACCTTCACAACTGAACGTCCTGAGTATCATTACTTCGTCACCAATGCGACGGCATGCCACACCACAGAAGTTTCTTTGCCTGATGTTATTGTGACTGCTTATCTCAATGCACACCCTCACCCCGTTGGCCTTGATTCGCGACGAAAGGAGAATTCAAGATCATCATCAGTACTTTGTGGCGTGGCGAGCTCCATAGAACAAGAGCGCAAATCGCCTATTCGCAGCGGTGGGATCTTACGTATCGTTCTCGTCATAGGAGCCGGGTTTCTCCTGTACGCGTTTTACCCCGCTCAGAATGGGGTCCTCTTTGCTTTTGGCGCTCGCCTAACCCGTGTCCCTTTCGTGAGCATCAGCGGCTTGCGTTGCACCACATGGTAAGGTTCTCCTCGCAGAACGAGTACACGTAAAGATGACTGAGGCGCATTGTTCTGATTTCCGCGAGTATTCTTAGGTGAAGAAAGCATCTACTCGACTGGGATGTTAGGATGTGATCCTCTGAGTCAGATCGTCGTTTCGAGAAGGTCCAGCTTTCGTGGCGTCACCGGCTTATCGAGAGGCCGGGATGGTCATTCTCAGGTCGTTTCTCGTGATGAAAGACGTGGCCTTTCCTTTGGATGCATTATGCCAGAACCCTAAAACGACTTGTTCGATACGTGAATTCCGCCGGCAGACGTGAAATCCTTTTTCTCGTCGTAGAACGGCATCGGACATTCAATTCATTCTGTCTGCTTTGTCGATGGTCACTATCTGGGCTACTCGGATCTCCTAAGTTAATCTGTCAGATACCGTGCCCTGCAAAATAAGCGCTCGCTGATAGGATGGCACCCATGAAGGAAGAGAAAGGGGGAACGGAACGGGCGTCTCAAAATTAGTACAAAATCACACGAGTCGCCCTTCCAAACCTAACTGTGTTGGTACGGAATTTCGAAGAAGCAGACAGAGCACAGCTTGTTCTTGGAGCACCACGGAGTGCGGGCCAGCTCATATGCTCACTACGCCAAGCCTGCTGGCACGAAGAAACCTTCAGAATGAGGGTGCACGCACCGCATCGTCCAAAAGCTGCGAGAGTGTCCGAGATAGCTGCTCCACGGAAGGAACCCTCAGGCCTGTCAAAGATGTTGTGCTCTGGAAGAATCGATGGGTTCTCGTGACAAACCCTTTCCGGACTTGGAAGTTGCTTCATCCAGCCCTTCTGCTTTGAATTTCGGAAGTCTTGGAAGAAACGGGATGAAAACTGGTGGTTCTAGTGATAGAGGACAAGGGTGATCCCAGAGCTCCGGCCGGTCCTCTGCCCGGCGCCGCGCCTCATTCAGCGCGCCTCTTCTACATATGCCTCGAGATTACAGAAAAATAGACCCAACATTCTAGCATGTATACCGGTGACAAGTCGCCTCGGCATTAGAAGCTTCAGCCTTCCCGTGCATACTTTTATTTTCTTTGTGAAATAATCGAAATTAGTGGGGCACTCTGCGAGTTCGAAAAGGGTGATGGAAAAAAACTTAGAGAGCTGAGTTTAGGCGCCCAGATCGGTGGTGTCATGTGCGCGCCACGTGTTGTCTTTGGGCATAAGACGGGTTGAAAAACAACCCCCGACACTGCCACCAGCCTCCATTCCACTTGTTCATCATGTCCACTCAACCTACGAGGAATCTCAAGTACTACCTTTCCGACGCAGGCCTAGGTATGGCCATCTTCAAGGTGCGAAGTCGCGCTCGTATCACTCAAGACTTCGAGTCAAGACTGTAGACCGCAACACTAAACACGATATTCCAGGTGGAAAACAACCTCTACAAAGTTCATCAATACTTCCTCATCCGTGAATCCTTAGTATTCAAAACGATGTTCGATTCTCCCAATCCTCCACGGGGACAGGATGGAGAATCAGATGAACGGCCTATCTATCTTCCAGACATAACTCGTGCAGAATTTGAGGTGTTGTTGGACTTCTTTTACGACGGGTGCGAGATTTAACCCACTTATATACTAGCTGGTACACATCTAATTTTGAGATACCCTCCGTCCAGAATGTTTGAGAATTTGCTCAACGTGAAGCAGTCTGACTCTGAGCCTGTGCTCGGCGCTATGCAGACAGTGCCACATAGCCCTTCCACCTCTACACCAGCACCAGCAGCATCGGCGCCCGCACCCCAGAGCGAAGGAGATATCACGAATAAGTCCAAACAAAATAAGCTTATTGACCTTCTCTCGATATCACTGAAATTCGCCTTCAATCGACTTTGGAAGCAGTTATCTCTGCTATTGATGCAATGTCACCGCCCATGGACCCTATCCCCAAGATTCTGCTCTCGCTAAAGCACGATACCCTGCGAAGGTGGATGCGGGCAGCATTCAACGCACTGATCGTGCGGCAAAAGCCCTTAACTGCCAAGGAAATGAAGGTGTTAGGGCCTGTCAGAACTTCCATCATCTGCTCGGAGCGCGAAAAGTACGCCGCCAAATCGAAGACCCCTCCCTTTTACCCCTCGGCCCAGTTTCTGAACGCTCCACCTACTTCTTACCATGCAAGTTCATTCTAAACTACTTAGGACAGACGGCACACTTGAGCTTCGGAATATGAATCCAAAATATGTTTCTACCCCCTGCAGTCTTTGAATCAACCCGGCTTTTGTAACTACTGAATCAACCCAGAAATTGAACTACTGATGTAACTAAATATGAAGTACTGATCCAACCCTATACCAAACTACAAATCCAACCCAGGTTCTTGATGTACTGAAGCAACCCTGCTTTTCAAGTTCAATTCTAGCATTTTAAAAGTACTGATACAACCTTTTTTCAACTTGTGATCCAACCCTTATTTCAGAGTGTAACAAAGTACTGGATCAACCCCCATTATGATTAAGAATATGTACTGATCCAACCCTCATTATTCTGCTAGAAAAGTACTGACCCAACCCTCATTATCCTCTAAAAGAAAGTACTGATCCAACCCTCATTATTTTCTAAAAGAAAGTACTGATCCAACCCCCATTATTCTCTAAGAGAAAGTACTGATCCAACCCCCATTATTCTCTAAGAGAAAGTACTGATCCAACCCCCATTATTCTCTAAGAGAAAGTACTGATCCAACCCCCATTATCCTCATAAAAAGTACTGATCCAACCCTTATTATTCTCATAAAAAGTACTGATCCAACCCTGCTTTTTTCAATTTCCTAATTGGGATGTCTCTGATCAACTGCACACAGCTGTGATCTTGTGCTACCTTGATCCTCTACCACCACCATCTCTGGCCTTCAATATGGGTAGAACTAAGAAGAACCCAAAGAAGAGAGCAGTAAGTGTGATAATTTGATATCTTTTGTCTTAGATCTACATTAACCAATAACATAGCTTTCCACATCAATGTCTGAAGATGCCAGTCCACCTAAGATCAAAGCCAGTAATCAAGATGATGCTAAGAGCTCTAGACGTTCTAAGAAGGTTAGAAGTAGATTCCCTTCTTGATACATCATAGATCTAACTCATTTCCACTAGAAAATACACTATCAGGATAACGATTCTGACGACTTCCTTTCTGACAACAACATTAAAGCTAAGAAACCTGGTCCTCCTCAACAGGTATGGTTTATATCATTGATCCTTGAATCTTTCTCTGATAAATCCATATAGCCAACCCGCAAGAAGCCAGGCCGTCCATCAAAGAAGGGTCAGGCAATCAGAACTGATCCACTTCCTGATCAAGATACTGTCATGTCTTCCCAATTTCTTCAGCCTCTCACACCTCCCCAGAAGGCCAACAAGAAGGATCCAAATGCTAACGAGTACACTCCACGTACTGCGCAGGCTGTCTGGTTCAGCATGCAAATACCTATCTGGCAGATTGAAGTGTCTCATATACCAAAGAAACAGCCACGTCACGGAACCACAGAGTCACCAGATATGAGGCCACTGAATAGGCTCACCCGGTTAGAGAAGGATGTATGGACATGTCTTGGAACAACACCTACAGCAAATGTGTACAGGCTGTTCCAGGATTTTGTGATTCTTTATGTTTTATATTATTATGATACTTTTACTGATTTTTTCTTGCTTTTTACAGGAGAATGACTACTCACCTCAGGAGTACAAGATCTCCAGTGGTCTCATCTCTATGCAGTTCTTTGGTCATCCTTGTGATCGGCCTAAGGACATACGTGCTCGCTCCTTTCTTCTTGAACGGGCAACTCAGGATCGCAAAGTTCCATCAAAGTACAAGGATAAATCTCGACCTGTTTTCCGTGTTGAGTATCAATGTCTTGGAAGTTGCAATGCTGAAGCACCTCCTGCAGAATCAGATGAGGATGTGAGTGAAGAAGAGGAGGAGGAGGAGGAGGATGAGAGTGAGAATAATCAAGAGGAAAGTAAAGGTGTGGATAAGCAGCTCAGAGGAAAGTGTGTCAGGAAGAAGCAAAGTCCAAAGGCAAGCAGCTGCCCTAGAAAGGTCAAGATTCATGTGCGTAATTATTTTTTCTTTTATTTCTTTACTCAACCACTATAGGTTGAGGTCATGACAAATGATCTTTCAAATGCTATGGTCTGGCAACAGTTTGTACACCACAAGGCCCACCACAGGCATCTGACATTCAGTAACATTTAAAAAAATGAATAAAAAGTGTATACATCACCAGAAAGCCCAACAGGGATAGAGTCAGTCAGAGTCCAGTCAAGTTTAGCAAGTTGTTGTGCAGGAAAGGCATATGTATCAGGAATAACCAATGTTGACCCCAAGATTCCAGTATTGATTGAGTTGAGCAAGTCCACAAAAAGAGAGATTTCATCCTGGCGGAGCATATATGTGGAATTGTTCCACCGACTGAAGTCTAGATCACTAAGCTTCTGCTCATCAAGAAGATCTGCCTCCTAATTAAATAGTAAGTTATAAAAAGGTATCTTAGCTTAGCACATACTTCATTAGCTGTTGGAAGAAATTCTCTGATTCGTAATTTTTTGGGGGAAAAGTTGACTGGCTTGATGGGAGAGTTTGGAAGAGAGGGCAGAAGAGAATTGTGTGGCTTGGGCTTAGGTCCTGTTTTCTGACTGAACTTAACAGGTGTGCGATTTGGATGAAGTGGTGTGACAGCAGGACGTCTGCCTGCTGTTACACCTCGGCCTAAAATTGCATAAGTAAAGCATTGATTTTGAAACAAGTAATAAACACACCTTTTTGAGGAGTTTGAGGATGCTGAGACACCAGAGCTTTATTGGCCTGTTTGGTTTTGATATCAGAAATTGGACTTTCAGCCAAAGACTTAGAATCAGAGTCCTCCTCTTCCTCCTTCAAACGCAAAAAGATCTTCTCCAGATCTCTAGTAACTGTTGCATCAGAAGCAGCTTGATGACGCTGGCCTGTCTTTTCCTTGATAGGATTTCGTGTCTGGCCCTTTGCAGCTGGTCCATGAAGTTTCTGACTAGTTTCAAGCTCTAAAGGATCATAAGTCACATTAATAGAGAAATAAAAAGAATATAGCAGACCAATATAGTCCTTTACTGATCCATGATCAATCTGCAGTCTGACTGCCAAGATGTGATAGCAGGCCTTTCCTGTCTGATCAAATGGAGAACAGGTGCAAGAAAGAGAACCATCTTTCTCTTCAGTTACAGTAGCATAGCACAGAGATGAAGCTTTTGGAGGCATAGCAGGATGTTGTGTGCAGTATAGAAGAAGATGGTGGTAGTAAATGGGAGAGATGTCCTGGCCCATCTAATCTGATCAGCCAATCAATAGGTCTGTTCTAAATATAGTAATTAAAAAACCTGGGTTGGATCAGTACTTTCATAACCCAAAATCCAGGTTGGATCAGTAGTTTCACAACCCAAAGTCCAGGTTGGATCAGTACTTTCATAATCTAAAGTCCAGGTTGGATCAGCAGTTTCATAACCCAAAAATCCAGGTTGGATCAGCACTTTCATAACCCAAAGTCCAGGTTGGATCAGCACTTTCATAACCCAAAGTCCAGGTTGGATCAGC